TTATCAAAAGTAGCTGATCATTTTGCTGTCTGAAATCAAAATGTGATGTTTTATAAACAAAGCCACCTTTTTGATTACGAAAGACAGACTTCAGAAATAAGATGCTGCCTACGTATCTTTCGTTCTGGAGAGTTTTGATGCCTTTTTGTTTTGCATTATTTTTATTAAAGTGGTCGCACAAAAAATATATATTCACCTAGTTTATAGGTTATTGGCAGCTACCACAGGTAGGTTTGTATGATTAGCAAGATTGGTGGTTTTTAGTTATAAAATGATCCCTTTTGTTGGGAGAGCTTTGATGCGATATTTGTAACTATCTGCAGTATAACGGTAGTAAAAACCCATTCAATAAGTTTTTGTGCAATTAAGTATTTTCTGTTTATTCTCCCTTTCCAGCACCATCAGTGTGTTAGTTGCCTTTTCAATCGCGAATATGTACTGTTAGTGTCGATGTTGCTTTTATCCATCGTAAATATTTACTGTTAGTGTCGAAGTTGCTTTTATCCATCGTGAATATTTACTGTGACCATTTTAACAATACACCATTATTAAAAAAACATTTTACATCTTACGTCTTACATAAAACTTATATTGCGTTCATTACTGTCATGTACCGATACAGAATGGATTTCGATGGTCAGATTATAATGACTATAGTCTCTAAATATAAGTAATACAATGGATCACAAGCATCACTAGTATCAATGCCACATTAGAAAGTTAATCGGATTACTAGCCTTTGTGTTAAATGGTGATGATGATCATAATAACAGTGATGATCATTGCTTCTAGCACATTTTTACAATTGTTTTGAAATAAAAATGTCATCATGTAATAATGGAATATGATCACATTTATGTAGTGAATCTACATTAGCAACATTATACAACTAGCATTTTCGATTGAAAACGAGGGGTTAGTACTTACCCTTAAAAAGCACTTCCACTTGACGAATACAACCAACCGTCAAAGAGCCCCTCGCTTCCAGTCTTTACTACGACAGACAGCAGAATGATGCAACTGAATGATAATCCAATTATATCGTGTCGTTTCTACTGACGCACCAAAAATTGAGTGGTAATACAGTTAATCAAAATGCTGGTAGCCGCGGTTGCTCATTATGTTTTTGTAAAGAAAAAAATATGTTTTTATTTATTTCAGGTTGCTTTTTATTTCAAACAACGAAAACCGTGTACAGTTAGGATACATTTGTTCTAGACAGCTTTAATGACTTTTAATTATCTTAGAGGTTGGAAAGCACAATTTACTAAATATCATAGCGCACAGTCAAATAAAACTTCGATCATCAGGATTTGGCATGTTGGCACCCATTTTCAGACAATTATCTGCAGCTCACCGCTATTAAGGCGCCTTTACACTGTGCCCTTTGTGCGTCCATCACTGTGGTCGTAGAAAGGAGGCACCAGCATTGATTTGGTCGCAGAATGAATGCTCAATGATCGGTCAGTTGTCGGCACGTTAAGCGTCTTTTTACTCTCAATCAGGGGCAAAGGGGGGGTTTACCAAATAACTGAACCCTCTGGCAAACTGAATCACATTTTAATTGAGCAATCCAATCATCTTTTAAGAACAAACAATAAATACAGTAGATTCCGATGCTTTTTTATTCCATATGCACTTTTAAATTTCCAATACTATAATGTTGTCTTTTATCCTCAGTAAAGTAAGTCTTTTATCTCAGTGTCACTCAAAAATATAACATTTTATTATCATTATAATGTTTTTAACATTCTACCCACTGGGTTGCAATCTTAATATATTATTATTATTATTATTATTATTATTCATAGTGTCAGCACACACGTCTCGTTTGGCAAGTGATTTGCTGCAGAACCTAGTGTTCTGAGGATGGGGCAACCAGCTTTGTGCCCCGATGTTAACTCTACTGAGCACCTGTGACATTATAATTAGAGTGTTCAATGCAGAGTCGAGGAACACCAATCTCTTAATAAACTGGACCAACTCCGCCAAGCTCTTCAGAAGAATAATATCCCACAAAACATAATTGTTGCCTTTGCCCTTGTTAAAAACAAGGCGCGCTGCTATCAGTACATAATTGCAGCACGCGGTAAGCACACACGGCACCTGACCTTTATGTTAACATCCTAGCTTATGCGCACTATATTTATTATTGTATTATGTATTATATATGTATACATGTATATTCGGCATTGTCACGAAAATAAATCAATTTAACTAACTAACTACATAACCCCTCGGGAACCCGCGCTGAATGCAGTCAGATAAACAGGTTACATAACGAGCCTGGAGTTGCGTAAAATATAAGAAAAGCTGGTGAATATGCTGGAAACAAGATAAGCGACCCAAATTTGAAGGAAATCAGATTTTTGGCAACATAATTAAATAGAATCAAACGTTTTATTGAATTGCATTAAGTGAATATTTCTAGTTTGCCTGCATAAAAATGTTGTAGGAGAAACATATCTTAATGCTAATTGTGTGTAAATTTGGTGATATTTGGTGGTGTCTTTTCAATTTAATGGACATTTCTTTACCTCTGTAGAAATCACAGTGAAACATGGCATTTGAAGGGTTACATGTTATAAATGTGAATGAATGATATTAAATATGGGTATCTTCGACGCTATTTCGTATGTTTGTACCATTTATCATGCTGGATATTGCATCTGGAATAAAAAGCACCGTTTATTACAATTTACACCTGTGAGTTGATCATTTGTAAATAAAAGCACATGGCATTGGAGGTGGGACAACCTTTTTCCACCAGTGTGTGTGTGTGTGTGTGTTTATCTTTTGCATTACATAATGGGGCCACAGAGGAAAAATGGGCCACACAGAATCTTCAAATATCCAGTGAAAAATCAATCTGTAGCCCTGGTTGAGCAAAGTGAGCAAAGTGCACATGGGGTGATATCAAAGAATGGACTTTCCCCGCGTTTACTGCCTAATTGCGGTCACCGTCCAATCATTTTCATTTGCGTGAATGGTTTGTGGTTGCGTGTGTATTGACAGGGACATGGGTCAGAGGTTTTCTGTGAGTAGTTGGCTGATTTCCTGCCCATCTTTCGCACGTGGCAGTCACTCCGTCTCATTCATTGTATCGGTCCCTGCAATCCTTTTGTTTTGATTTCAGCCCCGTGGTATGTATTCAAAGTTAGGGGGGTTGGGTGGAGAACACGCACGATTTCCCTTTGTATGTATAACAAATAAAGCACTGTTACCCCCTCGCCCGATATACACGATAGCATCGTGATATCGGGCTCGTGGACAGTACATTATTTACTACATATTCCTTCGTGACACTGTATGTGGTTACCAGCGTGTGATGGAATGTTAAACACCGCTACCAGCAGGTTAACCTTTCCTAATTATAGGGTCACTGTGGTACTTAAATTCCCTACCCATCAGCGTGACGGTTGAAAAACAACATGGCTCAATTGAAGACGTTTGTAGCATGGGCTGTATTTATATTTACTCCTTTTGATCACCCGGGCTATTCTAAAGGTAAGTATTTTTTAAATTCAGTCTGCTGTAATTTTGTAATTGAGGACATGTGGAAATATTGTATAGTCTTTGATGTGCGACAAACAATGATATAGTACGCGTATTGTTGTAGTTAAGTATTCTAGTTTTAACCCTTTTTCCCAAAATTATAAAGATTATATTACCTTTCATTGAAAAGTATATGAAGTGATATGTGCAGACCCAAAACCTAAAGTTGGCCACTGCTTAAAAAGGACATCGACAAGTGAAGAGGAATGTTCCCAAATCCATACTGGTGACACCACACTAACACCACTTAAAGGTAAACGAGAAGAAAATAATGTGCCGTTTGATTTCGAAAATGTATATTTCTTTATTCTATTAATTGTTACAGGCACTGCTGCAGAATCCATCCATCATATATATATGTTATCCCTGTTCATAATTATCTCATTATATTATATTATATTATATTATATTATATTATATTATATTATATTATATTATATTAAAGATTATTTTGTATACTTACTTGTTAAAGTGCAATTTGAAAAGTCTTAGTTATTATTATACTCTCATTGCTCAAAAGAATTTATACGAAATTAAAAAAGATTGCAGTCATTGGGCACTATCATTTATTCTACTCAATATAAAACCATTTCAGGGAAGGTAGGGGAGCCTTTACTGCCTGCGCTGATACCCAGCCTGTTTTCTAATGTTCCACCTGTCATTAACTTTGTGCTGCCCGGACAACAAAGTAAGTTCTAATTCACCGCTGCATTTTATGTGCCATGCTATATGCATTTTCACCCATTACACTTAAGTTCTCCATTTATTATGGTGCAACCTGTATTTGTTAGGGGTCGTTTACAATGAATTCTGTCATAATAGCTAATGCTAAGATTATAACTCCTAGGGGATCTTCGCTTGATGCAGTCAGATTAACAAGCTTAAGTGTCTCCTGGAGTAAAATATTAAAGAAAACGCTGATAAGTATATTGGAAACAAAATAAGCGACCCAAATTTGAAGAAAATCAAATTATTCGCAACATAATTAAATAGAATCAGATGCTTCATTAATTTGCATTAAGTGAATGTTTATCACTTGCCTACATTAATTGCTGTAGGAGAGGCGTTTCCAGATAGCATCAAGAGTCGTTTGTTTTGGTACAAGTCCGGCTCTCCTCTCGTATCTTCCATAGCGTTCGCGTCTGGATACACCCTCACTGATGGTATGTATATTAACATGATTCTAACATGTTTAAAAACCAAAATTCTACCCGTGCTGGGATTCATTTAAAAGGTAGATAAATAACTATTTATTTCAATGTTGAAATCAAATAGAAAATTAACCCTTTTATTTAAAAAAGGTAATTAGAGAAAGTATTACAGGTGGCCCTTCGCGTTCATCTATTTATTAAAGTGCGTCTAATTAAACCAGTGACAGCTTTGCATTTGCAAACTGCTTTATAAATCTTACTTAGTAAAACAACAGTGCATTTCCAGATGATAACATGTGGGTGGGGCGCTACACCGGGTGTTTCCCACCAAGTGAAACACACATGTTCAAAACCATTACACCCAATAAAAAGGTAATACGAACGGGTTAATTCCACAGAATTCAAAAGTTAATTCTATCGATAGGTCAGATACAGTTGTATATGTAAATAGGTCATACAATTATATCCTTATGCAACACTTTCTTAGTGTTAACGGATTTCTAACATCAATGATGTTTACAACACGTTGATGTACATGATATAAAAGATAATTAATGTTCTTACCTTTACCAATATAAATGACAGGCCTACCCAACTACCAGACTCGGCACCTACGGATCCAGAATAAACCGGTATATCAGACCACACTACCCGTTTTCAAGGTGTGTGTCAGATCGCATTACAGAGTATCAGCCACCACACCGATTTTGCCTGGTGCGCGATGTGATAGCGATGATCCTAGTAATAGATAGACCCCGAGTCAGCGAGGGTTATGTGGCATACACGAGTGCGAAGCACGAGTGGATGTCACATAACCCTCGCTGACGAGGGATCTATCTTATTTAGACCACGGGTCTATTAGCGGGTTATAACGCATTCATGCCAGACGTGCGGTTATGCGAGTTACACCACGTCTGAATCTTTTGTTCTTCACTTCCACCATGGTCTAAAGCGGGGTTGGAAAGTAGTGCATCTCATCTAGATTCATGTGCTGCTGCAATTTTCCCTGTTTATGCTAAAAATCTTACAATACCGCAATTTTTAACATAAAATTTAGGTTCGAACATAGCCAATGATGTTTTGTAAATAAGAACTTGCAAACTTATATATTCATTTAGAAAAGTAGACCTAATTTTGATAGCGGAAGCATATCCTGTCGGGGGTTTAATATTTTCTGGACGAGATTAAGTGAGTCATCTGTCGCCATGTTGTCACTCGGAACTACTCAGATGTCTCCGCACTCGATAATAGTATGGAGCTTGCGGAATGAGCCGAGGATTGCCGATTTCCATGTTGTTGTATTCATACGACTCCTACTTGACGAAAACGAGGCGCGATACCCGGATGACAGGTAGGCTTACAAAATTTGTGATGGGGTATGATACGCTGTATGCGATCTGACACACACCTTGAAAACGGGTAGTGTGGTCTGATATACCGGTTTATTCTGGATCCGTAGGTGCCGAGTCTGGTAGTTGGGTAGGCCTGAATGAGAACATCCCCACCAGTTGGTAAACACGGACAGAACAATATAGTCCTTTAAATGTACACTAATGCACTAATGCACTGTAAAACACTATAATACATCAGTTCTTTTTTTTGTGTGGCGCGAGAAGGGTAATTAGATTACGGTCTTATCAATATTAATGATGATTTATCCTTTTGAGATGCATTACATGCAAAATCGTGATATATAAGTAGTTGAACGAAATGCAATGGCAAAAATCTACAAAATGTAGAGACAGTTCGATTACAAATAAGAGGTATTATTTTTTCCTTCTTTGAGTACAACCATCTACCAAACAACTGGTCTATCGGCTGTAAGGACAGACTAGCACATAAGATGCGAAAAATGAAGATGGCTCACGGTAAACAATTTAATTTCCACCCACCAACCTATCTGACACCCGACGAGATGGAAGCAGTTAAGAAGGCTTGGGAGAGCGGACCAAAGAACCAGCTGTGGATTTTAAAACCGGTAATATTGTTAAATGAAAATCATTTTTTAAAGTATTCTTTAGTTTGGGTTAAGAAGTAGAATATATGTACAACCTAGCTTGTATGTGGCGGCAAAACTTTTCAGGTGTAGGTCAGGCTAAGGAGGTCTGAAGATCTTCCGGGTCAGTCTTTATTGAATTTTAAATCTTTGAAATTAACTAGTAAAGTACGAGGTATATTTTGAGTGCTGACATATGTTAATCGTTTTTCACAAGGGATCATTTTTTATTCACCAGTATTGTTTTTACGGAGGCAAAGGCATTGAAGTGATTCATCAGTTTGGACAGATTCCATTACAACATAGACGCATCGCGCAAAGGTATGTCTTACTCCTTTAATATCGCCACCACTTTTTAATGAAATAAATTGGGCCTACATTTCTGAATTCATCATACGTCCTCTGACGAGGAAAAGCTTTTTTTCTTTGTTCGTTTGTTACAAATTATTTTAAGTTGAAAACTATATATATGCTGAGGCTCGTGCTCGTGCATTTCCAGATACATTCCAAACCCCTTCCTCATAAATGGATATAAGTTTGACTTGCGGGTTTTAGTCCTCGTCACAAGCGTCGACCCACTGAGAGTGTATGTGTACCGCGATGGCCTTGTCAGATTTGCTACTAAGAAGTACGTATTCGTTTATAAACAATTAAGTTCTTTGATTTTTCATGTAAGGCAATCGTGACAGTTTTGATGTCGCAAGTATACAATGATTAATGACTTGTACTGATCGTGCAGTCTTCAAATATGTTATGTCTTTTAATTTTTTTTTCTTCAAATTGTGTGATCATGAAAGGAACTTTTATTGGGCATCTGTATTTTTTATTTCTTTTCGGGGAAGCCAGATATGAGCAGAGTGTGCATGAAATAATGTTTATATTGTCTTATATCTGTTTTTCAAAACAAGTCAAGAACACAAAACCGGGATGATTTCTGACAAAGACAGACACTGTATTGCCTCGTAAATCTACTTCTTCATCTTGTACGGTTGCAATCCAATGTAGTTTATTTTTATATAAATATTTTAATTTTAGGTTTACAACACGCGCCTTCGATGAAACTATCCATCTCACTAACGTTGAAGTGAATGAGAAAAACCCTGACTACAAACTACGTTACTCTATGCAAACTGGACACAAATGGTAAGTGTGCTATACTGTACATAGAATTCCCACAAGTTACTATTCGCAAGTAATTGTTCCTGGCGTTAAATGCAACTAAAGGCAAACATCTATCCTCCCCTAACGAAAAAAGTGTCACCTGCATTTATGTAGATCGTTAAAAGGTTACCCACACATTTAATTTTACTATGCACAACAACCAGACAACCAAGCATCTCGTAAATTCCCAACATTGGCCCAGCTACCGGTACCATTGACATACTGTAAAACTAATTATATATTAATATAAGTGAGAAGGATACATTTTTTCCGTGCGGCTGATATAGGCTAGAGTTGTCAAATTAAGAGCATTAATTATATATTTCGCGTCATCCAATTTTTAAAACGTCGGTGTATCTGGAACAACTGTTGCATTTACAGTACTGTAATAGTTTAAACGCTATTTCTATTGTTGTCAGGTCATTTAATAAGCTATGGGAGCATTTGAAAACTAAAGATGGAACCGACCACGAGCCGATTTGGGAGAAGATCAAAGACATCGCATTAAAGACGATAATCGGGTTTTATTTTATTTTAAATTTACATTTCTCTTTCTGAGGGTTGATGCACATGTGTATCGCCGGTAGTACACCCTTCGATTTGATATATATATATATATATATATATATATATATATATAACTTTGTTCTTTACAACTTTAAGTTCATTAAGTTCACCACACCCCATATATAAATCCAAAGGGATTGTTGTCATTATCAAGAAACAATGCAAGGAAAAGCAAATGTTTTTGAGTCCAAAATGTACAATGATGGTTATTCTCCATACTTTTTAACAGCGGGGAACCAGATATGTTTGAGGGAGTACAGAGGTACCTGCTGAGCAAATACAGTGGACATGAACTGTTCGGCTTTGATATACTGCTGGACAAAAAACTAAAGCCCTGGGTTCTGGAAGTTAACGTAGCACCTGGGTAAGTGTTTGGTATAGTGCTGGACAGAACATGAAATCTTGGGTCCTGAAGGTCAACATAGCGCCTGGGTAAGATACTACATGTATAAATAATGTATAAACCAAGCTGCGCTCCTGTATAAACCTAGCTGGAGGGCCACATTACCAGCAATAAAATGACGTTTATAAGTTTTAGCGCTTTCTTGAAGTGATATTTTTACAAAGTACAAAGATTCAATCACGTATATCTGCTATAAACGTGTCTTACTGTGTCCTGTTCATTTACCTATGGAGAAAAAAACATATTACTTGTCTAACATTCTCAGTACTTCTCGAGAGATCGGAAAAATATCTGCAGCTAGGTCATGTACACTTTGCAGAAAAAAAATCCTGAAACGCGTGAAAGTTTGCTTTAAACACATTTTAATAAGTCGTGAAATAAAGTGACATATTTGTTTCCAGTATCCAGGGACACTCTGGTAATCCTCACCCCGCCTTTGATCCTATGTGCAGAGATATGCTGAACTTAGCTGGCTACAGAATACCTGGGGAAGAAGATCATGATAATGATGGAGAAAGGTACAGCAATAATACCAGATTCCATGGTCGTGGTTTGCTTTTTTGACTGCCTAAACTTGCTTGAATAAAAGGCAAGTGTTATGCAATAAGAGACACAAGAGACGTTTATGGTCATATTCTTATCTTTAATTGTTATCAACCTGCCAAATACTGAGCTTCGCTGTTATATGAAAAAACTTTAACTGCTGTTCGTAACTTTGAGTCTTTTACATGTAACACTTAACCACCATGGCCAGTTACACTAGGCTTAATTGTCACTGCTCGGAGCACAACACTTTGGCAAACCCAATGTTGGGGCTTAAACAATATTTGATAATGATTTGGTTTCAGCGGGCCCAGTGTTTCGCCTGACTTGCTGCTAGACGAGCGTTGGTGGACAAAGAATCTGTCCAACGCGGAACAAGCTAAACATAAGTATTACAGTGAGCACTATGAGGACAAGGTGAGCAAAGTGGTCCGCAGACTCTTAAAAAAATACCGAAAGTTAAAGGTCAGGGATAATATTAGGGCCAGTATATGAGGCGTTCACGGTAATTGATTTTGGCCTTTTGCAAAATATGCCTGGTCTTGTTTCGCTCCTTCCATATGCGTAAAAAANTGACTCGCGCTGCCCGCAATTACGCCGTGGGGTATCCAGGGCACAGACCGTGATCACAAAATACTGCAAATAGATTTTTAGATTTTTAGAAAATAGATTTTTCATGTGAACGCAGCCTAAGTATCGACCCGCTCTCTGCACCTGCGCATTACACCAATATGGTAGATCAATCGTCTGCAATAATGTGATGTTTCATGTTGAAAACTTCTTCTCTGTAGTGAATGTATAGTGTGAATGTTATTTCTTCGGTTAAAATAAGGTCTAGTCCTAAGTTTCTTTTCAACACAACCGATCTGAATCAAGGTGCATTACTCAGCGTGGGTTGTGTAGGAGGGACGAAATAACTACTGTTTACTGAAGTAAACGCATCCTACAGAGAATCGCTTATCCTAAAAAAATTCTTAATAACAAAAGCTTAGAGAGGAAATATTTCAGTTATGTCTTACATCAGAGTCAGTAAAAATTGGACACTTCCCGAAATGACTGTCAACTTTGAAACAGAAATTAGTCACTGATGAAGGATAATGTACATTTCGAGTACCGGCCTGTTCTCTACACCTACTTGTGTTGGGTGTTTTCTTAAGAAATATTCGTTCTTTTTAAATCATCACGGATTCTCATTGGCTCTGTCGACGACTGATCATATTAAACTATTTGGAGTATGTCTTAACTAGGAACAGGTATGAAAAATGATTAAATGAACTGTGCGTTTTTGTTTCTGTTTTATTTATTTATTTATTTATTTATTTATTTTTAGGAGACGAATTAAATCAAAGCGGGGATCTATATTCACCAGGGGAATTGCTAGAAGCTCTCAGGGAAAAGAGACTAAAATGTCTTGGAGGAGAAGGCCTCGCAGACGACGAGAGAGCGGGTGAGACGAAAACAATTTATCCCTTAAAATGAAAACTACCGGTATACTAAAACGTTGTTAAACTGGTGCTATAGGGTGTACACATAAAAAGCACTGTCCAGTCTTAGGTTAAGAAAACCCTCTCATGGGCCGGTCGATCCCCTTTCAAATGGCGCCACACCACCCCGGCCACCCCTACCCACTGCGATGCGTCACTAGGAGAGTTACTATGTCATTTTTGGAGTACGACACATCACCGGTGCCCCCGTAACCCACCCAAACCCCGCAACCCCTCTCACAGGGTTCTCAGTAAGAAACATGGAAGATGCAAATGAAATATTGAAGTGTAGAAATGCGTGATATTTTACCTGATATTTCACGTTGCCATGAATAAAAAGGGGCACATACGCATGATTATGAATAAATAGCAAAAAAAAAAAAAAGTACTGCAGAGAATTATAACATACTTTGGCTTTGACTTTTTTATTTCCTATCGTTTCTTATCGGAAAGTGTGGAAACCAAGTTTGTCTTGATTACAAAATACAAAAAAAAAAAAAATAAAATAAATGCACCAGAAGTAATATATATTTCAATTTTCATGTCTAGAAAAAGTAGAAGCGAGGGACTTCGCTCGGTTACCGCAAGAGCTGCAGAATCATCTCTATTCGCTAGCCAGCTTACAGAATGGGTTTACTAAAAATGATGTGGCAGCCAAGACCGGTATTATGATAAGCTTCCATAATTATTATAATTTTTCTGTTGCATTATATATTACGCTATAGACATCCACAAATGAAAATAAATTTTCTTGATTTCAATCTTGAGAAAAAACCAAAACCAATCTTGAAATACATTGTGAATTAGAGCAAACATCTTTTTTTATTTTTATTTATTTATTTTTTTTTTTTGGGGGGGGGGGGGGTTCTGGAACAGTGGGCTAAGTAATCCGCGGATCAACTATGGCCCTCCCACTTGAATACTTCCCCACGGTGAATCCATTTAGTGTCTATTAGCGGATTAGACGGCAAGCTTTTTAGTGGGTCGCCATATATGACTCGCGGACTAGTTAGTCCACTGTTCTGAATGCGGCAGTATTCTGACTCTGACCTCCAATTGATTTCCTCTGTAGGACATGCCTCTCCCGCCATGGGAACGCGGGCCGTCTCCGCACCTCTACGGAGACGTAACAAGTTAGAATATGATTCAGAGAATGACAAACTTTCCATTCCTAGATTAACAGGGGAATATGTTGGGGAGCAGATTACACCGAAACTGCCAAAAAGTAAGTGCTGGCTGGTCGTTTTTAAAGTTTTTTTCCTACATCCTTATCCGCATTCACGATTCTGACTCTTGTTAAATTAACTGCAGAAAAAGACGTGACGCGGAAGATATTTTATTTTTAAAACATTTTTGCAATAAGTTACTCAAACACTTATACACATCCAATCCCAAATATTATTTATTCATTTATTTATGGGAATGTTCCCACTTTTTTTAATTATTTTTATTTTTTATTATTATTATCATTAGGCATACAAAGGAATCATACAAAATATTGTCAATTATATCAGTAACATCAATCATCATATAGCATTTCGTAAACATATATAAACATATATACAGTGGGAAATAAACACAATGTAAGGAGGTCACTGAAACACATTACCTAACATATTCCATCGTTCAGTATATTCGGCATATTTTCCATTACTTATATCCATGTATTTTTCCATTTCGATATAATTTTTTAGTTTATTTTGTAGACATTGGAAATCTAATTTTTTTCATTCATTCTTTTTCCATATATATATAATACTTCGTTACCAGTATGAGTATATTAATGGCTGCACATTTTGTATCGTTTTTCAAAAACAATGTTCCCACTTTTAATCTATAACCATCCAGGTTATGACGAGAATAGCGCAAAGGATTTGACTGAATCCCAAGCCTCCGTGGCACAAGACCAGCAGCAGACCACTACACCTTCATCATCCTTCCGACAGAAAGACTGCCTGGGGACCGAGGATACTACTGCTATCTACACAACCGAAAGCACCACCAACGCCAAACATGAACCAGCGCCTAAAGCGGACAGCAAACGACCGAAACGAAACAAACTGACGGTGGCTGAATACATAAAACAAAACATACCTTTGGTTGCAGACAACGCCCCTATCAAAACAGCACAAAACTGTACGAATGGGGGTATTTCGGGTTCTCCAAAAATCACGTCTTTGCTGGATACGCAGTATCGCGGCAGTTCGCAATTCGTATCTACGCCTCGCTCATCTGATACAGAAAACAGGGCGGATGTTTCATGCACAAAATCTGATGTCTTATCTGTAAGATCACCAGGAACTGCCGCTATCAGTGGTCGCTTGAATGACACTCACCTCGACAAGTTTAAAGGTTATGTAGGGAGAGGGGAGAAAGAACTGAACAACTTCCCTGGTCCACCGAGGGAAGAGTGGAATATCTGGTCAGACACTTTGCGACAAGACGAGACAGGACCACCGTCAAATGATGACAATAACGAAGATTTGAACAAGCCTAATCAGGATGGTGATCTGCAGTTAAATGTGCCAATTTCTGCTGTGGGTAAAAATTTGGAATGATGATTGAAATAATCGACGAGAACTGGAATAGACACATCGTACACTATGCCCACGAGCGCTTGAAGTAAACTGGACTTGATGTGTTCTTGCGAGTTGCACCACTCCGGATGGCCTCCACAGACTTCTGACAACTTTGGGATGGGGTAAAAGAATAGAGCATGTTCCAAGGATATGTGCGGAATTACCTATAATGCCAGAATATTTCAAAGTGGACTGTCTGGTCTGGTCATATGACGAACCAAAGCCTGCACAGTACCATCTGCACTAACCTGCTTTTATTATCGTTATTATTTTTTAATAAATGCTCAATGTTTTTCCTTAATGTTTTGTTATGGCGTCACTGCACACCAATTTTTATAGCTCGTCATCACGTGGTTTTGGAATTAATGAGAAAAGTTTAAACAACTAATTCGATCTTATCATGCTCTAGGCCTATTTATACCCAAAAGAGCAAAATTGCAAAATAAAAAGCAAACCCGTTTCATCATTTTTGTTAATTATTCCTGGTTTTTTTCTAACAGATATAAGCACATTATGTTCCAATTAAAAAAACAGATTTAAACAATGGCGACATGCAAAGTTATGCTGATCAATTTTAAGCAATATGCTATGAAATTCGTTATACAAATCGTCCCTTTATTTATTAAACATACAGTTTTGTACGTTTGTTAAGCCTATCTAAGCTCAACGTATATTTGTAAGCAAACTGTCTTGTCAAACAAATACACTTTTAAAACACTTCTCTGTTTTTTGTTTTCTGTCTACATGGTCTTGTCTTCTGTTAAGGCTATTAGTCGTTACATGTGATGGCCACCTTCATTCCTTGTCTATTCTTGGCGCACTCGAACGCTTCTACAGCTTTGTCCAGTTTAAATCGATGAGTGACCAGCGGCTTGATGTTCACTTTGCCAGAGGCCACTAATTCAATTGCGATTTCATGGCTAAAATATATATATATATATATATATATATATATATATATATATATATATATAACAAGCGTGAATGTGGAACAGAGTGCTCAACAGTACCTTCTGGGTATGCCCGTGAAACTCGGAGTCGGGGTTATTGCATGTCTTTTGTTTATTTATTTATTTATTAATTTTAATTGTGTGTATATATATATATATATATATATATATATATATATATATATATATGGAGATGTAGATACGAATGAACTACATCTGAATGACAAAAAAGTAAGCTACGGTGATATTTTCATATCTTTTTATCGAACTAAAAGAAAAGAACTTACCTCTTTCTGAATGTGAAACTAAAATGTATGTCAATTTCATTAAGGAGCGCATGGAATGCCGGGATGGTTTGGTTTGTATTTCCAATTCCCACTACAGCCACAACTTTACCTGGCTTGGTAGCCTTAAAACACGAAAAACAAGATGCTGTGCAGATCAAACAAAATTTGAATGCACAATGATAACAATAAGATCGGTTACATGTAGTTGCGACAGTCAACGCCAAGGAAAATCTATAGATATTATAGAGACATTTTTAGGGAAATGTGGGCCTGACACTGACCATGAACTGACAGAAAAACATGTAGAATAAGGGCAATGTCATTAACATGTACCCACTCAAAACTAGTAATTCGTTCGCTTGTCTTCAAAGAAAAAGTTACCAAAATGGCCACTGACAGGGCTTCCTCGGAACCACTGCACTCAATGGAAGCTTCGGCCTCGCACCCCATCAAATCTTTTACTTTGGAGGCAACGGTTTGGGGGTCGTCTCTAGCCTTGACAAGGAGGGTGTGAGTTGCCCCCACTGATTTAGCAAAGTTAAGGCGCTCCTGGAGAATATCTGTACGCACAAATACAAGACGTATAGCTTTACATGCTTGATGAGTTAAAAAGGATTTGAAAATTCAATTACGAGAGAGAGAGTAAAATTAATACTAACCTGTAATGCAGACTTTCGTTGCGCCTGATGCTTTAGCGGTGAGAAGCGTTGCTATCCCAATAGGGCCTACGACAAAATAAACATTTGCATAATGGTTGTGACAAAAGACTTTTTTTTTTAATTTTAAAAAATATTCTAATAAGGCAATGACTTACACACATACTTAAACTTAGTAAATTAAAATAGGTCATGATGATAGCTTATTTTTCACGTAGACAAAGTGATGTCTATTGGGGGTTAATGAAAATTGCCACCTGGACCATTAAGTGTGGACATGCAAGGTATAACAGTCAGACTGTGCCGTCAAGAGAGCTAGAGTTCATTACAGATTTGAAATTAGACACATTTTGCATTCCATGTTTTTGTTTGTTTGTTTGTTTGTTTGTTTGTTCTTTTCCACCACTGATACACTCAGCCCCTTCCAAAAAAAAATTCCAATATGTATTAGTCTTCATGAAAAACATTTCAGCGACGTATACTTGCTATAAGCCGTCTTTTTTAGATTACATTTACATAAATTCATCATTCTGTAATGCCTACCATTCCTGGTATACGCAAACAATTAAGAGACAACTTGAATGTATGCTACACGCTTACATATGAACATGAACACTATCGCCGCTGTATGGACAGAGTCGACGCCAAACAACATAAACACTTAATGGCACCTGTGAAAATTTGAAGAAATTACTTATTAACACGCTCACAAGCATGAATACTTACCAGCGCCTGTTACAAGAACGCTAGAGCCAGGCTTAATGCCTGCACGCTCACAACCATGAACACCGACTGCCAGAGGTTCCAATAACATCCCTTCTTCCAAGGTTAAGCTGTCTGGGAGTCTTAAACGTGAAATGGTATGCACATGAAAAAGTTTAAAATCTAACAGGGTTGCAATGATATTCAAAATGTTGTATATCAGTAGCATATTTTTGGCTTTGCGTACATGCAGCACTTCAATTTTCAGGTAACGGCTACCAAAGACTAGACTGTATATGCCTTTGCATTGTAGTTATTACCTGTGGCAGAAATTGGCCGGGTGACAGCAAATCGCTCGAAGCCCTCCGTCGAATCCTGGAGTTCCACAGAAACAAACTTTGTTGCGACAAATGTTGCAACGACCAGTAAGACATAAATCGCATTTTCGGCATGGAACCAGTGGCTCTGTTGCCACTCTGTCACCTGGATGTTTGAAAATGAATAGATGAGGTAAGTTTATCTTTCATGGACATCGGAGAGGGAAAATCCGATGAGGACACTGTTAGGATGCATCAAAATAGATGGTTAATTCAATAAAATAATCTAAACTCGATCTGAAATACCCGATCTGAAATTTATTTTAGGGGACTAAAATAGATAAAATCAGTAACTTCATAATTCTGACGGTTGGTTGTTTAACAATGAAAGAACTCTAAAATGTAAAGTGATTCGAAAAAGTTATCTTAAAATATATCAACAAAAATGGTAAACCCGTAGCTGCAAGTGGCCATAAAAAATTCATGAAATCGATAGATCTAACTGTGAACAAAGACATACCGGGTAGCTAACTAGTGTCATGTGTTTGCTTTTACCAATTTTCAGGCTTGTTACTCCCTCTCCGATAGATGTCACTGTTCCACTGAACTCGTGACCCAAGACGAAAGGCTCCTCGATCAAGAACGTTCCACAAGCGCCCTCTTGCAAGAAATGAACATCCGACCCACAAATTCCAACGCAGGCAACGGCGATCTGTACCTCTTAACGCGACAATTGAAATGCATATTTGTAAATATTGAATCATGGGAAAATGAAAGTGATAGCAAATTATTACCTGAGTATATATAAGTTTTGTGTAAAGAACAAATTTGTTCACAATTAACACAGACATATCCAAATTGGCATTTTGTAACGTCAAAGTTAAACAATTTCAAATGCAATTATGAATCGAGCACTATAAGTATCAAAGTTAGACTTTACCTCCTTTTCCTGGCAATGGGACTGGTCTTTCTTCCTATTTTGATAATTATATGATTAATACACAGTCATCCAGAAAGACAATAAATTAAATAAGAATACTAATTAAGATTATTAATCAATAATTTGTATTCTCCTAAATATCCAAAATAAGCATTCTCATAAATATGTAAATGCTTCAATAAAAATACATTAATACAGACGTGCGTACACATATCTTAAGATGTATCGATCTCTGATGTATCAAACTAAAATTCAAATCGCATCCCTCGCAATATCACGAACATTGCAAAGTCTTACAGTACGTTTTATATCAAAATGCATATATATAAAACTCACCATTCGCAAATCATCCTTCCCGTAAATGACTGCTGCAAGCTGCATCTTGGAATTCGACATTTTCAATCACTGAATGTTCCAGTTATACTCAGTTGTCTGCAAACTTACACTGCATGTAGAGATAAAGAAGCGCACAAATTCTAATTGAGGTATTTTGTTCATTTCTGTTCTTCACACTATTAAACTTTATTCATACATTTAAAGGCATAATAACTTTTCGTTTTGGCCAAAAAATTAATTTTCCCAGAGTAAACAACAATTTCCCATACATACCAATGGTTTACGAATCCATTTCTACAGTTAAAGTTAGTATAGACATCTATGGAGGTCACGTGGTCTGATGACAAGCTCAAATATCAGAATCATAGATACATGTATAACTGCCGTTTTTGTGGTAAAACAGAATATATTATATTTCTATGAGTTGTTTACGATGTATTTATTGTGAAATACAGATCTCATACGAAGAGTTATTATCCCTTTAATTGGGTGAGTAGCGTGCAGTCCACAAGAAGAACAAAGTGAAAATAGTCGCTGTTGTGACAGATTGTTTACTAACAGGTGCGTCTGTGTGGGCTTACACTACCTGTAAACACTAGTAGAGATAAACTTCCCCTAAAAGTTAACCTTTTGAACCCTTGGGCACAGCATTAAGTCTAGCCTGACCCCATTGTTTGCTGCAGTTGGCCATCGGTTAAGTAACCGATATAAACCTACTACATGTACATGTACCTTGTAGTACCCACGTGAATGTCATGTTTTCCTTTGAAACAAAACTTCACAATAATTTAAATTTTTAACTGTCTAGGTAGCTTACTGTCGATATTAAACTTAGCGTAGTAGGCCTACTCACCGCCTACCGACCCATTGCACTGCGGGGATGATACATTTCTATACTCCTCACCTCTTCTGCTTTCTTCGGCGTAAATTCGTAGGCTACTTACATGCATATAGGCCTACCGTGTATGTACATGTAGCTGCCATCAGGATAGGATTGCTTGGACTATGATAAATAAACTAGCTTACTACGTACACATGTATGTACTGTAAATACTCTACGTATTGTATCTCACCATTAGAAGTCACCGCTGTAACTTGTACTGAGTATCAACACCACACAAAGGTTCAACATAGCCGAAGAGTTCGGCCTATAATATAGCCAGTACGTGTTATATAACACTTTGGCCAAGCCGTCTCGTTTTTACTGCGTGTCACATATACCGTACATGTACAGTGTATAAGGCATTGTTTTGTTTTATCAACGATAAAATCTGAACTATGGCTTTTAAGAAAAATCGTTTGGGGTACTAAATGGTGTCATTAAACTGGCCTCAAACGTTGTTCGCGGGTGTTCAGGTAAAAGGGGAATTTTGAGAAACCGATTTTTCAATTTTTAACTTTGTCGCATAACTTTTCGTTAGTGTTAAATTAGAATCCTCAATTAGTGGGAGAACACTAGAGCTCCTTCTAGGAGATGTTTTGCCCCGACTTCCAGCATTGTGTCTGTAACACATCCATATCATTGCTTATAGCCCCTACTTAGGAGAACACCTCTTCAGGTATAGCCCCTACTTAGGAGAACACCTCTTCAGGTATCGGTTAAGACTCTCTTGACACTTATTGCTATAATATCGGTAAGCACGCTGAGCCCTTTTACTGCAGAGTCCATTTCTGTAAGGGGGCGGGGAGAAGGTGTGAAAAACATGCAATTTACGTTTACATTAATTAACCTGCAGTATTGAATGATATGGAACAGTTTGTACGTTTGATACAGAATCGTTATATTGTAAGGTTTTACGGTAAACCCTCAATGTATAATTGATTAATCTAATTTTAATCAACATCCGCCTCTCCCTAAAAGTGTCCACCCCCCTCTCAACGCTGTGCACATGTACGCTCTCCGTCGTATAATACCGCGAGGGATTTGTTTTAAACCTTTGGTTGGGCAAGTGTGTGGAGTCATGTCTGAAGTCAAAAAAGCTAAGCTGAATGATGACAACACAAAGGGACATGATAGGATAGTTTGGGTGGATTGTGAGGTAAGATGAATATTACTGCTACCCTAGTACTAGAGAGAGTATGATGGGTGCATTAAATGTACATGCACCGGCCACGTACACTGTGCGTTGTGCTGTATTTGTTACTGAATTTTCTCTGTTAACGAAGGTTTTCTCTTTCTACCTGTATCTTCCTATTTTCAATATTTTTAGTTTGCCATGTTTTACAGTATTGATTTGATTTCTTTGTTCTTTTATTGATGATATGAAGATGACATACTAGTACATCCCATACATATACAGTATATACCAAGGTAAAAGATAATGCACTTGGATGACTACACTTCTGTCGAGGAAGCAGTTGTCAGTGGCTAGATATGGGGTTAGACTTGCCAGGCCTGTACATGTACATACTGCAGGTAAGGCCTCATTTCACCCTCTGTTACAAACTTGAGGCATTTAAAAATATCCACACTAAGTTATGTGCCTGTATTTTCAGATGACAGGACTAGACGTTGATAATGACCACATCATTGAGATTGCTTGTCTAGTTACAGATGGAAAACTTAACGTTGTGGCAAAGGTAAATCATAACACTGTTGAACCACTTCCAATTACTTAAAATTCTACCCTGTTGCTGACTCTCACCTTCCTAAAATTAAACATTTCATGTTTGAAATAACAATTTTTGCTGTATTTTTCGGTTACTCGTGCACAACAGCATTTCATGGTAAGTGGACCATTTCTTTAGGCTTTAGATTGTTAGTAATTAACTCACAATTCAAAATGTGTACATAAAAAAACACTGATTTGATCACATGTTATTGCAGGGTCCAAATCTTATTATTCATCAGCCTGATCACATAATGGACAACATGAATGACTGGTGCAAAGAACACCATGGAAAGGTAAAGCTAAGGTTCACCACTAAATTATCTTAACTTCCACCAAACATTCATTTTCCCCTTTCACTGTCTCCATCCATTTTATCTTTCCTTTTTACGTTGTCTCCCATGTTCTTCAATCAGTTCATACAACAATATGAACTTAATATATACTTAGTCTAGTAATTATACGGAATCTCTTCATTTTGCTCAACTAACCCTCACAGCTTAGGTAGCAAGTTAGCAAGGTATATATATATATATATATATATATATATATATATATATATATATTTCTTTTTTCAAATGTTTTTGCCTGATGATATTTTCTAAACAATTATATCTTTTACAGTCAGGTCTAACCCAGGCAGTAAAAGATAGCCAAATATCTCTGCAGCAGGCAGAGAAAGAGGTTCTGGCTTTTGTTCAGGACCACACCCCTGCTGGAAGCTGTCCACTGGCCGGTGAGTGGCCAACATGGGTACAGTAGTAACCATTACTGACTGAGGTCATTACAAAATAATTTAAAACATGACCGAAGTTGAGATTTGTTTATTTTCAAGATTGTAAATTTATGCAGCAAAACTGTGCAGAAATTGTGCCCAGTGACTTTGTTCTCTTCTACAGAACAAGATACAGTGTATATTCAAATTTCAAACAATTAATTTAAAAGTTTTTGATGTTATTTTCATTTATTATTTAGATTATGCAGTTACATTGTAATGGTAAAGCTGTCCCACACTTACTCTAGTTTCTTTAAAGTTATTGCACTTACTGGGCAAACATATAAACATAGAGACTTAGTTAAGGTCACTAACTCCTTTCTTACGAAAATATCCTATAGGTCATCCAATATAGGGCTATATGAGACTCGATAAGAATTCTGTCGGTCGTCCTATAGGACTCCTATCTAGGACAGTACTATACTTTATAGGAAATCTTCGTAAGGCAAGTCTGGCAACTGAATGTACATGTTGTTGTAATATGTTGCTTTTTACAGGGAACTCCATACATGCTGACAAAAAGTTCCTGGATAAGTACATGCCTGATTTCATGGGGCACTTGCATTACAGAATTATAGATGTCAGCACCATCAAGGAGCTCTGCAGGTGGGTTTTAGGTTCACAATTCACAGTCTTCAGTCTTCTTGTTCAATATATTGTTGATTATTAGCTCTCTTTGTTTAAATAAACATTCTTATATTTTATTGAAAATATTATTGCTCAATATGAAGATAAAGTTTTCCAGTCGTAGTGAATTCATTATTTCTTGTTTTATTTTTATAAACTTTCAACCCTTTGGCTTGATCATCAGTTTAATATACATGTATAATAGGAAATATAGAGAATTATGTACAGGTAGACTTCAGTGTTAGACCTTTGAGTACATTGTCCGCTAGTACTAGTAGCTTAATAGTCAGTATTGGCTCATCACACATAGTCTGGTCAGTGATGTTAGCCAAAACTATACTAATTTGTCTTGATATACCTGTATTTCAGGAGGTGGTACCCAACTGACTTAAAGAAAGCCCCTCCTAAAGCAAGGACTCATAGGTAAGTGTTGCAGGTAAAATACAGTACTAACATAATGTAATGGGAATGATATTGGAATAGGGGCTATTTTTTTTTTTTTTTTTTTTTTTTTTAGTATTTGGGTTACAACGCTTAAAAATGTACATTGTACAGAAGTTGGTGGATTTTTTTTATTTGACGGTAATACAACGATAGTTGATCATGGCTTTTATACGTACATGTACCGGTACATGTAGCCCTTGTTTGCATAATAAACGTCTTTCTGCATGTATTTATTTATAGAATTCTGCTATAAATCATTCAATTATAGTACGGTTTAATTATGTTTTTTAATTCGTTTTATTTCAGAGCCATGGATGATATAAGAGAGAGCATAAAGGAATTACAGTATTATCAGACTGCACTCTTCAAACCTCCAGAAAGCTGAATGATTTACTGTAACGAATGTGAAGAGCAATGAATGTGTTAGGTGTGACTGAAAGAACACATTTCTGGCAGCGCGCACGCACTGTTTGTTNTGTCGTCATCAGACCACGTGACAACGTAGCTCATTAACTCTCAGGCCGAGCAAATAGGACGTTTTTTAAAGCCAAAAATTTACAAAATGAGCTTTTAATTTGTGTATTTGGATAAAGATATCGTTAGCTGGGCATGTTTTCTGAAGAATATGTTCCGTTCAGGCCATTCTGACGGCATGAAGCAAACCCTTTAATACCTCTTTTGATTGTGTTCATTTAACTGGAGAACCTATAGCCAATGATTCCTGAAGAATTGAAGGTGTTATTAATATTTTTGCCAATTCTTCATGATTTAATATTGTTAATGATATATGAAAATGATGATGATTACTGTCAGGGGACATGTTCTTTAGGTATTTGATCTGATCATGCTTGTTCCACTTTCTTTAGCAACAAATTCTAATTTAAAAGTTTTTGATTTTATTTTCATTTATTATATAGATTATGCAGTTACATTGTAATGGTAAAGCTGTCCCACACTTACTCTAGTTTCTTTAAAGTTATTGCACCAAAATGGAAGAACTGACTTTTTACTTTTACCGTAAACTGTAGCATTTTTGTGCCCATAGAAACCTGCTCAAGTCCTGAGGAAAGCAATCTCTCTCTCTCTCTCTCTCTCTCTCTCTCTCTCTCAAAACGTGGGTATTACATGTATAAGGCACAACCAGACCAAATTGTTTGCCTAGACTATACTTAGCAACTTTAGATTTTAGAAATAAACGATGGAAAGTTGCAAAATCAACAGGCTCCTCTTTCTAACCACTGATACGTACATGTAACGTGTACACTGTATCTGGAGGAAGATTATATATCGGACATTATATATCTGACATGAAATAAAACTAATTTTAAAACTAATTTTTAACCGCATGACCAATATACGTCAGGATATTAAAAAGTTGTCACTGGTATTTATTTTTCAATTCAAGGTCAATTATTGCAAAATTGTAAGTACATTTAACCTGAGTTGGTGAGTAAATAACAGCAACAGTCAGTCAGTCCCCGATTAAGACCGTGTGGCAGGAATGGTAGTCATAGGAATCGAAGTCCGGGGTACCATATGATTTGTACAGGTTAGGGTTAGTCGGAGTACTGGGGTTGGTATATGAAACGAAGTTATGGGAAGCGGACTCTGGTTCCCAGCGGACTACCATTCCTGCCACACCAGTCACTTACTGAAACACAGGTGGCTATTTGATGTCATGACGGCAATGATTTCTTGTATGTGGTATGTCATGGGCTTGAGCATTTTTATTTACAGACTCACACTTTGTATCGTCACCTGTACTGTCTGAAACAATTGTTCACTCTATGCTTGGAATTCTCCGTGGATTGGTTAGGGAAGATGTAGGTTTGGGTCGAAAATCGGCAAGATCGGACTATTTTTTACAAATAGGTGGATCATTTTCCTATTTTGTGTCTGTATATTTGCAAGCTTTGGTGCCATGTATTAGAAGTGCGCATGGCGAGTCTAAACAGTTAACTTTTGTGAACATGTATGTGTGATGTTAAAATGATCGTAAGGGCTTGCGCAGCATTGGTGGTCCTTTTTAGGGAGAAGGTTGAAGGGATAACAACTCGTCAAATGAAATAAATACATTGTAATTAAACAACACATATGAAAATAATAAATTCCATTTTACCACCAAAAAACGGCCGAAATCGTAATTATTCTGAAAAATGTGCTTGCCATCGGACCATGTGGATCTTCATAGATGGCTACCTTAAGTAATGACCGCTTAAAAGATTATAACAAAAATAGGTTTAAAATCAATCAAGTTAGAATGAGCGGATTCATTAACCGTAAAAAAAAGTATGGGAAAATCGCCAAATGAAGTTGTTATCCCTTTTAACTTGTGTGTATTGGCGCTAGGACTGATACAGTGACCTACACCGCAACAGTAAACCTTATTATATATTTAAAAAACGCTACTTGCAACGTTATGCTGAATTTGACCCACATATCAGATAAAATAGTGAACCCAGTGTGACTATCTGTTCTTTTCTGCAGTCAGGTTGCTGTTGGGAATCTATAAGGTGTTGTTCCGAAGAGAGTGAGTGCTGGTATGTATTTATGTGTATTTTGACGAGAGTCCGGGCCTTGACACACGTATAGAAGTCGATAGTTGGTTTGTATATTGAGTGATTGACTCAGGATAAATTAAGAGTACCGGTGTCACGGGAATGAAAGCCCGGGGCCCTATGTGACTAGTACAGGTAAGAGTTGGTCTCTTTATTGGGGTTTGTACATGAGGTAAAGATCACGCGTGCAGAGGAATGGGGGACAGACTACGTTTTCTAGCGGAATACCTTTCCTGTCACACCTGTACAATTAATTTATGCTAGCGGACTGCATGTACAAACGCTCGGCTGTCACCTTCATTTTTTATTGAACGTGAAAAAAATACCAAACAAAGCAGTATATTTTAAAATACCACGCCATGGCGTATAGCGTATAAGCCTTCGTCATAATAGCCCAGAACATTTGACCTGAGTTAAAGGACCAATTTTCGACCAGTCACTGAAGTTAAGAAGGCGACAAAAACTTAAACTGCATTAAATTAATTGGAGCTTTGTTTCATGGGACCCAGAAATTAGACGCACACGTCCGTCGACATGGAGCGTCATTGGATATACAGGGAATGTGGTTAAATGGCACAGAAATGAATAGTTTTTATTTCATCAGGTGCACACTAGGCTAGAAATCTAGAAACCAACATTAGGCTACTGGAATGAGGCAATGTTTCCATGGAAACTCTCCAGACTAACCTGAGTATACAATGTAGATCTTGTCTCGCGCTCTCCAGATTCTCTCGGTTCTGAGTACGAAATCTTACGAAGTGACCGTCCTCCCCCCCCCTCCCGCCGCCGCCCCGGAAAAAAATATAAAAATAAAACTTGAATTTGTATTTAGAGGCGGTTATGTGAAAACCGAGCTGCTAGCCCCAATTATAATAACACGCACTGCATTTACGGTTGGTAACATGTACCTGTATGTGGTATAGCGCTTTGTGCACACATGAACTCTCTAGGTTAAATTCTTTCTAAGGTTGGCATCTCTGTAGGAGGGTTCTTAAAATAAATCTGGGGAAAGTCTGGCTACAATTGTGACGAAGCAAGACTTTCTTTTATTGGGAACTCATAACCTTATAACCTCATTAAAGCACAGTGTGTATAACGGGCACTGTTTTTGAACAGACTCCTAACTGAATAAAGATACGGTTCGCAAACAACCACTAGATATAAATCGATTATACAGCGGCCCTAGACGGATCCAGGCACTAGGGTACATACAATGTAGGAGACCATTCCCAGACCCAATCGTACTAACTGTGGATCGATCTATCTTCGAGGGGTTCTCGCTAAATTACATTCAGCTTAAGCGTCTAAGATGTCTGCCATGCCTACTGAAGCTGCTACGGTTAATTAGTTATCGTTAGCCGCTTCAGTAGGCATGCCTGAAAGCAATTTATCGAGAAACCCCTTGGAGATGGATTGATCCTGTTAGATCGATCTAATTACATGGAAATATTCTTTCACGACAGCTGCATATCGAACACCTAGTGGACTCCACGATACTCATGACAATTAAATGTCAGGATAAATATTAAAAGTGCACATGTGAAGAATAGAATTGAACAAAATATTTTAATGAGAAGCTGTGCGCTTCTTTATCTCTACGGTGTACGTTTGCAGACAACCTAGTATAACTGGAACATTCAGTGATTGAAAATGTCGAACTCCAAGATGCAGCTTGCAGCAGTCATTTACGGGAAGGATGATTTGCGAATGGTAAGTTTTGTGTAGGGTATGCATATATTGATATAACATGTAGTGTAAAACTGCAACGTGCTTGATATATCCGTATATTTTCTGGAATACTTAATGGAATATTCATTATTTATTTAAATACATATAACTGATTAATCTTTTTTATTCTGATGTAATTTAGTGTCTATCTGTTCGTCTCTCTGTTTGTCTGTCTGCCTGTCTGACTGTCTATTAATCCATGTAATTATCAAAATAGGAAGAAAGACCAGTCCCATTGCCAGGAAAGGGAGGTAAATTGTAGCTTTGATACCAGGCTTTTATTTCATATTTGTAACAGGAGTTTTTTTGACAAACATTACACACATTTAATTTGCGATTTTTTTCTGTGTGTTATTTGTGAACATGCAATCTTTTTTCTTTAGACAAAGCGTATTGCTACATGTATCATCTACAATATTCTACATGATTCAATATAGTAACAAATAAGTCGAGTGCATTTATTCATTCCAATCGACACATCAAGAGGTGCAGATCGCCGTTGCCTGCGTTGGGATATGTGGGTCGGATATTCATTTACTGCGAGAGGGCGCTCTTGGCACTATGGTGATCAAAGAACCTTTCGTCTTGGGTCACGAGTTCAGTGGAACAGTGACATCTATCGGAGAGGGAGTAACAAGCCTGAAAATTGGTAAATACTAAACATGACGGTAGTAAGCTATTTCTTTGTTCACAGTTGGATTTGCTGAGTTCATGAACTTTGCATGGCAACTCGCTTGCAGCTACGGGCTGACCATTTTGCTGACATATATTTTAAAAGCATTTTCAACTTCTCACTTTTCATAGTTAACCAGCGATTTAACCCTCAAAATGATGAAGTTTTTTTTTTTTTTTTTCTTTTTTTTTTTATTTGTCCTCTCAAATAAATTGATAGTGTTTCAGGTCGAGTTTATTTTGATTTATTTATTTATTTATTTATTTGTTTTTATTTATTTATTTATTTATTTGTTTTTTTTTTTTTGTGTGCATTCTAACAGTGTCCTCCTCAGATCTTACCTCCATGAAAGTCAAAGAAAGTCCATGAAAGACAAAGTGATCTCATCTATTCATTTTCAAACATCTAGGTGACAGAGTGGCAACAGAGCCAGCGGCTGCATGCCTAAAATGCGAGTTATGTGTAGTAGATGGTCGCTACAACATTTGTCGCAACAGGATTACTTTTTGTGGAACTCCAGGGTCAGACGGAGGGCTTCGAGCAGTTTGTTGTCACCCGGCCAATTTCTGCCACAGGTACTAATAGAAATTAGAATGCCAATTCATAGCCGAGTCTTGTCTTTGGCTGTCATCTGTTGGTTTGAAATTTTGAATTGCCATGCAAGGGCAAAATGTGACACTGATATGCCATGTTTTGTATACCATTGCCAGCACTGTAATTTTTTTTTACCGTTTTAACATTTTAAACCATTTTATGTGTGCATCATTTCATGTTTAAGACTCCCTGACAGCTTAACCTTGGAAGAAGGAATGTTATTGGAACCTCTGGCAGTCGGTGTTCATGGTTGTGAGCGTGCAGGCATTAAGCCTGGCTCTAGCGTTCTTGTAACAGGTGCCGGTGAGTATGTATGCTTTATCACAGGTGTTATTAAATCTTCAAGTTGGTACCCGTGCAGGCGTTGACCTTGGTTCTGGCGCACATACTGTACAACAAACGGTGATAGTGTTGATGTCTATGCATTTGTAAGCGTGAACACATTAAAGATGTCTCTCAATTGTGTGCGTATAACAGGAATGGTAAGCGTTACAGAATGATGAATTGATGTGCATATAATCTAAAAAACTCGGTTAGTGGCAATTGTGTGGTGCCAATATTTATTCCTAAAGCCCTATACATATTGTTATCTTTTTTTAAAGGAAATACCGAAAAAAAGGAACACAAAATGACTATAATTGAAATTCTTAAGTGAAGTTCAGCTCTATTGAAAGCACAGTCTGAATATCATAACGTTGTCGGTCTACGTGAAAAATAACATATTATCCTGACCTAATTTGATTTAGTAAAATTAAGTGTGTGTAAGAATTACCTTTTATGAGTAGTTTTAAGAATCTTTTGCTACAACCATAATGCACATTATTATTTTGTCGTAGGCCCTATTGGGATAGCAACGCTTCTCGCCGCGAAGGCATCAGGCGCGACGAAAGTTTACATTACAGGTTAGCATTTTACGCTCTCTCTCTCTCTCTCTTACTCGTGTATTTATCCCATATCTATTTTAACTAACCAAGCCTGGTAAGCTATGAGTCATGTATTTGTACAGCTATATGTATTGTATTTGTGTGCGCAGATGTTCTCCAGCACCGCCTTGACTTTGCTAAATCAGTGGGGGCAACTCACACTCTCCTTGTCAAGGCTAGCGACGACCCCCAGACCGTTGCCGCCAAAGTAAAAGATTTAATGGGGTGCGAGGCCGAAGCTTCCATTGAGTGTAGTGGTGCCGAGGAAGCTCTGTCAATGGCCATTTTGGTAAGTCTTTTTCTTTGAAAACGCACGATTGAATGAATAGTTTTGAGTGGAAATCACATTGCCCTAGTTTCAGATCTGTCAGCGCAGAGCCAGAGTCACGCCCATGAACTCATAACTAATAAAAAGAAACAACTTCTCAAATTTAATTTTTTTTTTTCAGATATAATAATAATAACAATTTCACTGAAATAACAAACATTTGAAGCACTTGGAAGCTCCTTTTCACTGAGCACCGTTTTACGTCCTAACTGTATTTTTCTACAAAATGTATATAAATGGACACATTGCGTTTATGCGTTTGTAACATATTTTTCAACGCAGCCTATACGCTTCTTTTTTACGGAGGGCTATAGTTAAGGTATAGTTAAGGTGATAGATAGGTGCAGACCACAGTTAAATACTAAAAAGTGGCCATTAGAAATCCCATTTGTCAAATTCTATTTCCATCGTTGAACATTTAGATATATAACAATCAGTTTTTTATCTGTACTGAATCTTGTTTTTCATGTTCCAAGGCTACCAAGCCAGGTAAAGTTGTGGCTGTAGTGGGAATTGGAAATACAAACCAAACCATCCCGGCATTCCATGCCCTAGTTAATGAAATTGACATATGTTTTTGTTTTGCCTACAAAAAATGGTAAGTTGTTTTCTTTCATTTGGATAAAAATATAATGAAATTTTCGCGTAAGATTTAACTTTTCACCCTTTTTATTCAGACACATATAAATATGTGAAACTCTGAGTTGGTGGTCACACATGTCTCATGTTTATTTATTTATTTATCTTTAATTGTACACGGCAACCGTTTAAACAAACGTTTTGTTTGGAACATGATAAGAAATAAAGGCCACATTTGTCAAAAAAAAAACAAAAAAACAATTTCAGTATATGATGATTTAGTTGACAAGAGCGCCATGTATATGCCCTTCATATAATACATGCATATGTACATGTATAAAGAGTACATTGTATGTCCTCTATTTCAGTCATGAAATTGCAATCGAGTTAGTGACCTCTGGCAAAGTGGACATCAAACCGCTGATCACTCATCGATTTAAACTGGACAAGGCTTTTGAGGCGTTTGAGTTAGCCAGGAATAGACAAGGGATGAAGGTGGCCATCGCATGTAACGACTATTAACTGTAAAAGAAGACAGCTATCATATAGAATGAAACAAAAATCAGCAAAGTTTAACAAGATGATTTTTGACAAGATAATTTTGCTTTCACACACATGTTCTAGTAAACGTTGAGTTTAGATATAATAGGCTTAACAAACATACAAATCTGTATGTCTAATAGGTGAAGGGGCCATACCTTCTTGTGCAAATCTAGCGGCGTTTATGTATTAGTATACAGTACATGTTTTCCTATTCGGTATCTGTATATTTGCAAGCTTTGCTATCATGAATGAGAAGTGGCGAGACTAAACATTTTACCTTTGTGAACATGTATGTGTGCTGTTAGAGTGATATTATGAGCTCCCGCATCACTGGTGCTCCTTTTTTGAGACGAAAGTTGAAGGGATAAGAACTCCTCATATGAAATAAATACATTGTAATTAAACATCTAATAGGAATATAATAAATTTAATTTTACCACCAAAAATGCGGTTAATGCAATTGTTCTAAAATATGTGCTTGTTATTGGACCATGTGGACCGTCATCTCAGAGTAATGTTCGCTTAAGATATTGTAACAAAAAACACTTTTAAAATCAAATAACTTTGTTGCCGACACGACAGAAATTATGTACGTTATCATTTTTATTTTATATTTTCCACGCTGTTCTTATGTTTATTTATATTGCGTTAGAGAAGAAACTAAAACACTGCTCAATATTAAGTAACATCTATTCATCTAGTCATGTGATCAACTGTATAAAAGCCGATGTTGCATGTACTCTGCGCGGTCATTTATATACTTACTGGCAGAGTGGAGGTATGTTACGATATTACGTGTAGATTGTGTAAAATTTATGTGTTTAAATAAAGTGTAATTCAATTATATAGAGATATTTTGTGTAGTTTACAAAAGTTTACATAAGTTTACTTAAGTTTAATCAGTAACATAAGTTATTAGCATCGTGTTTATTAAAGTTTATATTAGTATGGGTGTGGCATTTTCATGACCAACACGCACATGTATATTTATGTTATCAAATAAATTTACAGTACCAGCTCAGATTGCTATGGCCGTATCTGAGCAGCCAGTTGCTAGCGGAGAAAGCGAGTCTGGATATTGTTCTAGTGTGAGTGTTTTAAAATTAAATAATAAATAGTAAAAACTTACACACATGCAAAGATCAATTATTTGTTGTTAAGATCACATGAATTAAGTTGTTTAGTATATCTAGTTTATTTATCTTTATTTCACTGTATTGTTATTATTATTTTTTTCTTTTTCTTTTCTTTTTATAGTTTTCACCAGTTTTTGTCCAGTTTCTGTTCAGTTTTTGTTCAGTTTCTGTTCAGATTCTGTTCAGTTCTGTTCACACTGCGTGAATAAACGGCAGTATTATCCAATGGTGTTGCTTCATTTACTCGTGGTCCGCTACAACTTACTTTGAATAAGCGGATTCATTAACCATTAAAAAGGATGGGAAATTCGCCGTTTTATGGCACTTTTCTCGTCAAATAAAAATGAAGATTTGTTATCCATTTAAACTTGTGCGTATTGGCGTTAGGACTGATACAGTGACCTACGCTGCAATACAGCCTGTTTATCAACTATTAAAAACGCTATGTGCAACCTTATGCTGAATTTGACCCACATATCAGATAAATTGTGAACAGGTAGTGTGACTATCTGTTCTTTTTTGCAGTCATCTTGCTGTTGGGGATCTGTAAGGTGTGTTCCGAAGAGAGCAAGTTGTGGTGCGTATGTGTGTGCATTGTGATGAGAGTCTCGGTCTTGTCTCACGTACAGGTATAAAGATAGAAGTCGATAGTTGGGTTGAATATTTTCGATGATTGACAGGAAAATAGTACAGGTGTGACAGGAATGGGAAGTCTTACGAATGGACGTCTGGGGTCCCATATGGTATGTACATGTTAGGGGTAGTCGGACTATTTGGATTTGTATATTGGACGAATGACACTTGTGCAAAATAATGAAGAAGGGACTACTTTTCCAAGCAGAATACCTTTCCTGTCACGTACAATTGGTTTATGTGAGCATGACATGAGAGGAGTCTCTGAGGCTAGTTTGCTGTCAAATTTTCGTGTTTTTAAAATAACCAGAATCATATTGTTGTTACTTGAAAATGACATTTTATTGACATTTGTACTTTGATTAATAAACAAAGTACGAGTTTAAAATACATACAGTTACATATAATCTTGTGAACGATAATCATGAATCTTCAAATTATAATAACACGCACTGCAGTTTCGGTTGGTTACATGTATGTGATATATAGTGCTCTGTGCACACAAAATATATTCTCAAGGTTAAATTCTTTCTATGGTTGGCATCTCTGTATAAGGGTTCTTAGAATAAGTCTGGGGAAAGTGTGGCTACATTTGTGACGAAGTAAGTCAAGATGCGACAATTGTAACGTGGTCCAGCGTAGCATTAACTTGTCTGGAATAGCATGTACTGAGGGCAAATTAATAAAGCCTATTAGAAACCAAAGCAAGATTTTCTTTTATTCGAAACTCATAACCTCTATAAAGCAATTAAGTTTGTATTACGTGTACTGCTTTTAAACCAGACCCCTAACCGAAGAAAGATACAGTTCGGAAACAACCACTAAAGATAAATCGAAACAACAGTAGTCTTAGACGGATCAAGGGACTGCACTGGGGTACATACACTGTAGGTCTATAAAGAAAAGCATTGTTTAGAAAGCCACCCCAAAAGTACCATTTTTTCAATAGTATAAGTCATGAGCCAAGGAGCATTACTGGTGGGGAAATCCTCCCCCCCCCCCCCCCCCCAATCCCGTCTCAAATATTTCCGGGGCCTGAATTGATAAGCCACCCCAGACGCTCATATAAGTACGCACTCTATCACAACAGCCGATGTTTTCACATCGAACACCTAGTGGACTGCACGCTACTCACGCCAATTAAAATATATGGATAAATATTAAAGGTGCGAAAAATAGAATTAAATGAGAAACTGTGCGCTTCTTTATCTCTACAGTGTAAGTTTGCAGACAACCGAGTATAACTGAAACATTCTGTGATTGAAAATGTCGAACTCCAAGATGCAGCTTGCAGCAGTCATTTACGGGAAGGATGATTTGCGAATGGTAAGTTTCATGTATGCATATATCGATATAATACATAGTGTAAGACTGTACAACGTTCGTGCAAGGAATTTGAACTTTGCTGCAGTTCAACTTAATGCACGTGACAGCCAGGAGCCTGTTACTTTTCATTTTGAGCACGTGACATTCGCCCCATGCACTTATTACGAAACTCCCGATGTTAAGAAACAAGGCTCTTGTAACTGCTCCCATTAAATCCATACAGGTTAAAGTGTTCGTGATATAAATGAACCAAAATCTAAGACTGGGATCACCTTTAGCAAATCAACGATGAAATAATTAGGCAAGCCAACGAGAACCGCAGCATGTATCACAGTAGGTTTTCTCGAATGTAGCTTATAGGCTATACATGTAGCTAACCTGTTCTTTGGCAAACCCTTAACGTTGCTCGTTAACCAATTTACCGTTAGTCTGAACTTATATTATGATCATAACTGCAGGTTTTGGAAGTGAAAAAAAAAAACGAAAAGGGAAGAGCGGTTGGTCATGTGCACAGTGTTCCTGCATACATTTTTGTATTATAATACATCAGCGATACATCTTAAAATATGTGTATGCACGTGTGTAATAATGCATTTGTTTATTGATGCATCCACATATTATAAATATACTTTTTGGGATATTTTTGAGAATAAAATTAATTGATTAATATTTTTTGTATTCTCATGTAATTTAGTATCTGTCTCTTCGCCTGTCTGTCTGTTTGTCTGTCTGTCTGACTGTCCATTGATTCATATAATTATCATAATAGGAAGAAAGACCAGTCCCATTGCCAGGAAAGGGAGGTAAACTCTAACTTTAATACCTAGGCTTTTATTTCATATTTGCACTTAAAATTGTTTAACTTAAACATAACACGCATCTAATTTGTGATTTTTTGTGTGCTGATTGTGAACAACCTTTTTTCTTTAGACTAAGCGTATTGCTACATGTATCACCTACATAACAAATTAAATTAATCGACTGCATTTATTCATTTGTTCATTTATTGATTTCAATTGTCACATCAAGAGGTACAGATCGCCGTTGCCTGCGTTGGGATTTGTGGGTCGGATATTCATTATTTGCAAGAGGGCTCTCTTGGCACTCTGGCGATCAAAGAACCTTTCGTCTTGGGTCACGAGTTCAGTGGAACAGTGACATCTATCGGAGAGGGAGTAACAAGCCTGAAAATTGGTAAATGCAAAACTTGACGCTAGTAGGCTATGTCTTTTTTCACAGTTGGATTTATCGATTTCACTAATTTTGCATGTTAACTCGCTTGCAGGTACGGGCTGACCATTTTGTTGACATATATTTTAAGAGCATTTTTCACCATCTCACTTTTCATCTCAGAATTCTTTCATTGTTAACCAGCTAATTAACCTTCAGAATAATAAAGTTGCTGTTTTAATTATTATTATTATTATTATTATTATTATTATTATTATTATTATTATTATTTTAGTCCTCTCAAATAAATTGATAGTGTTTCAGATCGAGTTAAAATTGCTTTATTAATTAAACCCACTATTTTGGTGCATCCTAACAGTGTCCGCCTAGGTTCTACTGTGGGCGGCCAAAAGGGCAAAAATTCATGTTGTCGATTCAGTTATGTTTCGTCGAGAAATGTTTGACAATTGAACTGACGAAAGTAGATGCTGAATTTATGACAGGGTCGTTTAAACTTGAAACTGAATCGATGAGAAGGCAGTGAATCGACGAAACATAACTGAATCGACGACATGAATTTTTGCCCTTTTGGCCGCCCATATTATTCCCTCTCCGAAGTCCATGGAAAAAAACTGACCTCATTTATTCATTTTCAAACATGTAGGTGACAGAGTGACACCAGAGCCAGCTGCTGCATGCCGTAAATGCGAGATATGTCTGTCCGGCCGCTACAACATTTGTCGCAACAGGGTTACTTTTTGTGGGACACCAGGGTTCGACGGAGCGCTTCGAGCGCTTTGCTGTCACCCGGCCAATTTCTGCCACAGGTGCTAGTAGAAATAAGAATGACAAGCCATATCCAAATTTTGTCTTTGGCTGTTGATTTAAAAATTTAAAGTGTAACGGAAGGACAAAAATATGACACTAATGTGTATGTTTTGAATACAGTGGCCCGTCATTTAGATTTTTAAAACCTTTTTTTATGTGCGTATCGTTTCATGTTTAAGGCTCCCAGACAGCCTAAGCATGGAAGAAGGAATGCTAATGAACATTCTGGCAGTCGGTGTTTATGTTTGTGAGCGTGCATGCATTAGGCCTGGCTCCAGCATAATTGTAACAGGCGCCGGTGAGTATTCATGTTTGTAAGTTTATAAAACAGCAATTCCTACCAGTTTATCAAAGGTGTCATTAAATGTTCATGTTGGTATGCGTGCAGGAGTCGACCTTGATTCCGGGGCCTATACAACAAACGTTGATAATGTTTATGTTTATGCAATTGTGAACGTGCACACATTAAAATAGGTTCCAGGTGACAGTTCCATTAACCCCCAACCTCACTTTTTTGGTCTGCATGGATAATACCTATTAAGCTGATCTAATTTGTTTATGTTAAATCAAGTGTGTGTAAGAATTACCTTTTAAGAATAGTTTTAATAGTCTTTTGCCACAACCATAATGCAAATTATTATTTTCCCGTAGGCCCTGTTGGGATAGCAATGCTTCTTGCCGCTAAAGCATCAGGGGCGACGAAAGTCTGCATTACAGGTTAAGTATTTTACGCTCCCCCCTTCCCCCAATCTCTCTCTCTTTCTCTCTTTCTCTCTCTCTCTCTCTCTCTCTCATGTATTTATAGCAAATCTAATTTTTATAACCAATCCTGTTAAGCTATACGTCTTGTATTTGTGTGCTCAGATGTTCTCCAGCACCGTCTTGACTTTGCTAAATCAGTGGGGGCAACTCACACTCTCCTTGTCAAGGCTAGCGACGACCCCCAAGCTGCTGCCACCAAAGTAAAAGATTTAATGGGGTGCGAGGCCGAAACTTCGATTGAGTGTAGTGGTGCCGAGGAAGCCCTGTCAATGGCCATTTTGGTAAGTCTTTTTCTTTAAAGACGCACAATTGAATGGATAAATGTCACTTCCCTACATGTAGTTTTAGTTCTATCAGCGCAGGGCCAGTGTCACGCCCATTTTTCAATTTATTAAAACCCTTATGCATTAAGGCTCATAAGAGAGATATACAAATATAATAAAAATAACTCCCAAATATAATAATAATAATAATAATGAAATATAAAACAAATGAAGTCCTTACAAGCTCTTTTTCACTGAGCACCCTGTTACAACCTAAATATTTCCCTGTATTTTTCTTTATAAATGGAAACCTCGCGTTTATCCGTTAATATTAAATGTCCAACGCAGCCATGACGCTTCTCCTTACGGAAGGATATAGTTATGGGTGAAAGATAAGTATATACTGCAGATAAATACTTCACATTGGACGTCGTCAATACCATATGTCAAAATCTAATTTTCATCGTTGAACATTTAAGCAATCAGTTTTTATACTGCACCTTATTTTTCATGTCGTTAGGCTACCAAGCCAGGTAAAGTTGTGGCTGTTGTAGGAACTGGGAATACCAACAAAACTATCCCGGCATTCCACGCGCTCACTAATGAAATTGACATATATTTTTGTTTTGCCTACAAAAACTGGTATGTTGTTTTCTTTTATTCCAATAAAAATATTATGAGATTTTCACGTAGATTTTCATGTAGATTTTATACACTGTTGCTCTAAATGGTTTTCACGTACACCTGATACAATTTATGGATTCTTTTACAAATGTCAACTTTTCTTTATTGTACAGCTGTAGCATTGCATTGCATATTGATAAAAAATATATAAATAATTATCATAATGATAAAGTAATAATAAACTATTTTAATCACTAAAAATACAAAAGAAACAAAAGTCATGGTTATATTGCACACTTCCTGGAGATTAAATGGGCTTCTCAATATGGCCACTGGTTTTGAGCTCCTGTTCATAACCAGTGGTTATGATTACATATTAACCTAGGATTCCTCCACTTTAGCCACGTTGGGCGATTCTTTGGTTCAAAGTTAGGTGGGTAAGGCGAAGCAAATGATGAGCCCGTAATTCTGTAGCAGTTGCAATGGCAGATTTAATGCGGGTTCTTCTGGTAATTTTGATGATGATACGGTCAGTACGGGCGGCAGATTTTCTGCCTGCGAATTTCTCAGGAGCAACACTGCCGGTGGAGTACTCTAACAGCAGATGGACTTCAAAAGCTAAGCCATCTGCCAATGTCGGATTTCCTGAAGCCGATTCCCTAAGACCAATGTCTTGACATAGTTTCAGCTTTAGCTTGGTGAAGGTCAGATCTCAAGTACCCCAACAAAAACACCCATTTCATAGAAAAATCTAGGAACATATGTTTGCATAATCCTCACAGGTTTATCTTATTGGATCTGGCATCCTTTGACATGTGCTCATATTTGACCTACCGGTAGATAATCACAAATAGTCATTGATTACTGTAGGTTGGACTGAATCCAAAATATCAACATATATATATCTTTTAAATCCGATTATCTTATTAAACACACTTTCTAGAGAGTGTGACAACCATTTTGAGCAACAGTATATAAAGTTTTGTCCAAAGATTTGAAATGAAAAGACCCAAGATGCTGACAGTTGCAATACAAAGTAAGTGTTTTTGTGTTAAAACTGAGGTGGGAGGTAACCAGGTTGGAGGTAAATCTGCCTAAATAAACGTTTGTTGGGAACATGATGGGACATAAAGGTTACATTTGTCGAAAAACAGTTTCAATATATGATGCTTTAGTTGCCAAGAGCGCCATGTATATGCACTTCATATAATATACGCGTACTTGTATAAAGAGTATGTCCTCTATTTTAGTCACGAAATTGCAATGGAGTTAGTGACCTCTGGCAAAGTGGACATCAAACCGCTGATCACTCATCGATTTAAACTGGACAAAGCTCTGGAGGCGTTCGACTGCGCCAGGAATAGACAAGGGATGAAGGTGGCCATCGCGTGTAATGACTATTAGCTGTAACAGGAGACGGTTATCACATAGAACGAAAGAAAAACAGAGAAGTGCGACAAGATAATTTGTTTTACAAGATAATTTGCTTCCAAATTATTATACGTTGAGTTTAGATAGGCGTTTAACCCCCTTTACTCTGGACGGTACTTTTTGCGTCATTTGTACGACCATGAAACTGGAATCGCTGTGGTCGTATCGCTTTGATGGCAGAATGAATGGTCAATGATAGGCCAGTTGTCGGCATGTAAAGTTATATTTGTTTTACTCTCAAACAGGTCGCACTACGGGACGAAAAAGGACGCCGTCCAGTATAAAGGGGGCTTAACAAACATAAAACTGTATGTCTAATAGGTAAAGGGGTGATACTTCCTTGTCAAAATCTAGCGACGTTTATAACTTATTATAGCATTGCTGAAAATAGTTCAGCAATACTTAATTGATCAGCATTACTTTGCTTACTCCATTGTTTAAAGCCATAGTCTCAATTTGAAACATGCTACGCTTATGTCTGCTAGAAAAAAATTCATCTAACATGATTTTTGAGTAATGGATCACATAAAGTGTACAGACTTCTGGAAGCATTTGAATACGCCAAGTAAAAAGAAGGGTTGAAGGTGGCCAGAGACATTTTGCTCCAATAGAAAACAGTTATCTTGAAGAATGAAACCATAAAGCAGAGACTTTTGACAAGATTATTTGATTCACATGATAATGATGCCTACATACTGTATATACGCTGAGCTTGTATGAGCATGACGCCGATAATAATTCTTAGCGGTAAAGGTGCGTAACGTCTATGTCATGTTTAGACGTGACTAGCAATTTTTAAGATCGATCAGCATTATAAATTGATCAGGAATATTTGGAATGGCTCTGAAACAGATGGCTTTGGTTTGGACATGTTTGGTGCAGAATTGTAATTAATGAAGTTATAGCCGCGGTTTCTTGATAACGGTTTTGCACTATATTTTCTGAATTAAAAATGAATGTTCGTTTTATTTTGCGTTGGTTTTTGGTCGCCATGCAAGACGGGGAATTTCGCAAAAATATATTTGGAGGGGATGGCGGTAGGCTTTGCTTCATTAGGGTTTAATTGGCCTTAGACATGATTGCACGGAATGGTTTGCCTAGACTTCTCTCATCAATATTGCTAAAACCGCGTAGTGACAAGCTATGAAAATAAATGTGTACTGACGTTATCGTTCGTTCCAATTTTAACAAATCATCCAAAACGACATTAAACTTTTACTAAAAAGTAATAATGATAACCATAACGCTAATGAACCAAGGTCAGAAAACTGATCAGACACAAACATGACCGCTTTTCATCCAAGGATAATTCACAAACATTACCTTACACCCCGCTTGTATGTTGCCTTAATGTTGTTGGCGACATATTTTGCAGTTTACAGAATGCCTATCATGGTAGATTATGGTTATAATCAAAATGGGTGTTCTTGGTTCCGGTTGATATGGCATAGTCCAATTGCTAAATCTAGATTAGGGATCGAGTGCTGGTGGTACTGGTACACACACTGGACATTTGAAGTGTCACTCCCTGAATCAGAGTAATCAAAGTTATAATGCCTGGTCTACTTATAATGTGACTAATGAGCATAAAACATCTTTACCATGGAATTGTATTGTTGGTCTTTTCGTGAAATTTGATGTTGATTAAACAATACCAGGAGCATATCATTCCACAGTCATTTATCTCCCCCCAAAGTATTGGTTCAGTAGGGGTGACACTTCTATTGTCCAGTGTGTGTCATCATTATCATCATTTAGAGCGTATAGTGTTCCACTGTTGGACAAAGGCCTCAGCATGCTTTTTCCATTGTTTCCTATCCTGAGCCTCAGATTTCCAGTTTGGCCAAGGTTTCTTCTTCCAAGACTTCCAGTAGTCATCTAATTCATCCCTCCATCGTTTGACCGGACTTCCTCTTTTTCTTTGTCCATACCTTGGGGTCCATTCTGTAAGCCTCATTGTCCACCTATTGTCCTTCATTCTTTTGACATGTCCTGCCCACCTCCATTTCATTTCTTTAACTGTGAGCAGTACGTCCTTAACATTGGTCTGTTCACGTAACCATACATTCGTTTTCCGCTCTTTTGGACTGATGTTCAACATAATTCTTTCCATCTTTCTCTGAGATACTTGTAGCTTGTGTTCCATGGAGGCATTCAATGCCCAGGTCTCTGAACCATAGGTGATTGCCGGCAGCACACAAGCATTGAACACTTTCTTTTTCAGGCAGGTAGGAAGGTTGCTCTTGAAGATGTCATTGTGCTTCCCATATGCTGCCCATCCTGCTTTTATCCTTCGTTGGATTTCTTTCTCCAGTGTTCGATCACTTAGGCTGAACCGTTGCCCAAGGTATATATACTCTTCTACTGCTTCTATCTCTTCGGTGTTGACCATCACTGTACAAGGGGTGGTTAGTGGTCCAAACATCACCTTTGTCTTGCTGGTGTTCATCTTTAGCCCACTTTTTGCGCTTTCATCTGCTAACGCCTGTAGCATTTCTTCGAGGTCTTTTGCATCATCTGCTACTATTATTNGTCAGATCGCATTTCGGAGTATCAGCCAGAACACCGACAGGATGAGCCCTGGCATGCTCGGCTGTCACCTTGATTGGATAGTAAACGATTGTCGTAAAATCGCTATATGATTTTAAAACCGGGTGCATAATTTTGAAAGCCACCTAGATGAACCTTAGACTGCCACATTAATCTAATACAATGCAAAAGAGCCCTATCAAAAGTGGTTAAAACATTCAAAACGAATGTCGTAAAGTCCCCATATATCCCCATAGAGACAATAAAATAGAGTACTCTAAAGTAAGAGTACAGTTTAAGGTTGTTCAGCCGAGCGTGGATGAGCCCGCAGTCGTGTTACAAAATTCGATCTGGGGTATGATACTCCGAAATGCGATCTGACACACACCTTGAAAACGGGTAGCATGGTCCGATATACCGGTTAATTCAGGATCCTTAGTTGTCGAGTCTGGTAGTTGGGTAGGCCTGCTTATGATCCGGTTGGATTTTTGCTACTAAGGCAGTAGGGTTTTATCTGAGAATTATCCTAACTCCTAGTCAGGTTGCTGTTCAAAGCTTACGGGTCCTGACCCCCCGCATGATACAGGTAGTACTGGTTTTACATGTTTACCAGAATGATAAGTCGCGGCTACAGGATTTGAACCCGGGACCCCTCACACCCGAATCAAGCGTGCTAACCACTAGGTCATCACACCTCTCCAGTGTGTGTATTTATGGGCGGCCAAAAGGGCAAAAATTCATGTCGTCGATTCAGTTATGTTTCGTCGATTCGCTGCCTTCCCATCGATTCAGTTTCAAGTTTAAACGATCCTGTCATAAATTCAACATCTACTTTCGTCAATTCAATTGTCAAACATTTCTCATCTACGGTATATTAAAACCAATGCTGTCACTATTTTCGTCGATCGTGTAACTATTCTCGTCGATCGTCAAACTATTCTCGTCGATCGTGTAACTATTCTCGTCGATCGTCAAACTATTCTCGTCGATCGTCTAACTGCTCTCATCGATCCTGTAACGTCACCTCATCATTCATCGATCGATCGCCAGAGGGCGCTGTGGTAGCACATTGGCCTATCACATGACTATCAAAATGGCAGACAACAAAATGATTGCTAGTGAAATAAGAAAATTTTCTCAACAATTTCAATTTTAATTGTTAATAATTAAAATCTGTTGTAGGGACATTATTTTCTAGTTGCTTTCAACTCTGACCATGGCTGGCCGAGTTAAAAATTACCGCGTGATTGACAGACAGAAGCACGTGTTGCTACCGCAGCGCCCTCTGGCGATCGATGGATGAGACGATCGACGAGAATAGTTAGACGATCGACGAGAATAGTTACACGATTGACGAGATTAGTTGGACGATCGACGAGATTAGACGATCGACGAGAATAGTTACACGATCGACGAAAAAAGTGACAGCATTGGTTTTAATACACCGTAGGTGAGAAATGTTTGACAATTGAACTGACGAAAGTAGATGCTGAATTTATGACAGGGTCGTTTAAACTTGAAACTGAATCGATGAGAAGGCAGTGAATCGACGAAACATAACTGAATCGACGACATGAATTTTTGCCCTTTTAGCCGCCCATATGTATTTGTATATAATAATAAAGACAACTGTCAGTGAAAAGCATGAGGTTGTCTGACACATACATCACATAACGACTTTGCCTTTTTGTTCCACTGAATGTCACGAGCTCTTTCTCTCTGCATGCGAGTCTTGGCTCCACCTCGGCGATATAATCTTCATTCAATTCCTCATTGCTGCGCCTCGATGTTAGTACGCTCTTGTACGTCGCAAACAGTGGACGACGCGTAGTTGTAATTACTACATATAGGTATAAATTGTAATTTAGTTTAATAAAGATCGCCCTAGAACAGTTTTGGTTTGAAGAGAGGGGAAGAGTGGGTCAGGCCAACATATCACAGGGCTGCCGTCGAGAAAGGGAGAAGTTAAAGGAGCATAATGATCAAACCAAAGTCAATTTGAATATAAATCATTTTGGAACTGAAATGCACTATACTTCCGTTGAAGAGCGTGGATTGTCGTCTTTCCGCTATTTATTTGCACGTTTGTTATGGACGCCTTTGCGAATATTACTAATATTTGTACACGTCTTATACATTAGGCCATTTTAATAGAATCGTTGAATTTGCATTTTTGCATGCAACACAAAAGCACTGATATCGAACAATAAGTGAAAAAAGTGCGTCATTTCAACGGTCTCTTTAGGGAATTAGGATAATCACGAGTTCATTAACAAAATGGGCTCATGTAAAAACGGACGTCAACACGACCATTACATATAAGAAACAATCCCTCGCGTGTTAATATATTTAGTTAGCAGACGACACCACTTTAAGTTTCACAAAGGAGACGGCTGGATTAAACAGGCAATAGGCATCTGTACTAATTATGAATCCAGCAGTACTACTGGTCCTTACTGTTTGCGCCTTTGGTAAGTAGTTGTCAAAATGTTGTAATATCTTTATAGTACCAAATGAGATTTCTGTTTAACGCATACAGTGAGCGCGAGGCCATTATACTCTATGGCACTATTTCGTGGTAATTTTAACTTTATCTGTCAATCACCAATGTTTAACATTGCTCCATTATAGCCCGTTCTTGAATTCTTAGTTTCAAGTCATTTTCGTAGCGGGATAGTACTGTTAGGATCAATATAATCGTTGGGGTTGAGCTATTAAATTCAGAACTCGATAACAGGTAAATATAGTTTTTTTTCTTAAGTTTCAGTTTTNTTAAACAGCAAAAAAGATTTCAAAAATCATTTTTTAAAATCCATCACTTTCATAAAAGAAATCTGTTCATGCCAATTTTCAAAAGGAATCTGCTTTATTACCATACAAAGAGGCACTGAAAATCTAAAATAAAACAAAAATATGATTGGGCACTTGACTATCACCAAAATATATGCAAAAACATAAAAAAAACAATGAATTTTGCTATAATAAGCTGCTCATCCTGATTTTTAAAAGGTACCATTTTTTAACAGAACAATGTTACACAGTAAATTAAAAATAAAACAGAATAGAATAGTCACAGAATAGTGGCAGACAGTGTCTCAATATAAAAGAAACAAATAATTTTACTAGTAAGTACCTACATCTAGTATGTCCATGTGTGACTTACAGGGTATACATAAAAATCTTACTTTTAGTTGTTCCATCACTGTTATGGGCCTTCTTTAGCAGAGTGGTTTCATCATCTTCATCAATAGGAAATTCTGCTTTTAAAAAATATTTGAAGAATTTAATCTTTTTTTGTGTTTTTTATTCATGAAAAATTTTCAAAACATAAAAGATGTATGTATTGTTCAATATAATTGTGCAAAATAGAAAAAAGCACAAAAAAGTCACAAAAATGCATCAATTAGTTCTACTCTGATAAAACTTGCTGCTATTTTCTGCAAGATCCTCAGATCTATTAATACAGATACTAGTTTTTTTCAATATATCCAGTGAATACATGTCTATTAACAGACTGGTAACAGATAAGTAAACACAACAGTTCAAGGCAGTGTCTCCTACCAGATGGATGGCTGTTCCCTGAGGGTGGCTGTCTGCTTGGTAAATTACTCAGAGGGTCCAAGGATTCCAGAACACCATGACCCTCCTTCCTCAGTGGTTGTCTGCTTGGGAAACTACTCACAGCACCAGCAGACACCTGTAGTAGTAGTAGCAGTAGTAGTAGTAGTAGTAGCAGTAGTAGTAGTATTTCAGAGTAGGTATACAATTTATATAATCTATGTGAACAAAATGTGTATGATTGTGTCTATAAACATTTTTTTCATAAAAAAGATAAAATTACCTATATGATTTTCACAATTACCTGAGAAGAATAAAAAGAGTGTTCTATTGGATTTCTGGCCTGGTATCTACCACCACCTGGACAGAAGCCCTCTTCCACTGGATACTTGACATCCACTGATGTTCTACTGTTGCTAAGAGACCCTAGGTTGTCAAGGAAATTACATAAGTCCTCGTCATCTTCTGTCCAATCATCTTGCTCTGGGGGAGATGCAGGTATAGTGCCAATTTCATCATGTTCCATGGGTGTCCGCTGATCTACAAGTAAAGATTCGTACTGACATCATATAATTAAATTAAAAATACAATTTGTGTACAATTTTCATTGGCAGATGCAAGACTTTGCTAAGGGTGGGAGGTCAGTGACAAATGTGAAAAACAAATTGGTGAAGAGTGTTTGACTTCCCCTCAGGTGACAGAGAGAATGAGGGAGAGGGAAGTGGGAGGTGCACCTTTGGTCAATATCACCCTCTGAGATCAGCAAAAACAACAGGTTGACTGAAACCAAAGTTCATACTTGTATAATTTGGAATATTTTAAAACTACTTCTCAATCAATTTGTTTGTTTCAAAATAGAGTAAAGTTGGTGAGTCATCACAATCATTCAACTTAGACCCATTCCCATACCTAGATCGATCTGGCGGGATCGGTCCATCTCCAAGGGGATTCTTGCTAAATTGCACTCTGCTTAAGCTGTAAGGGGGTAATAAACTATCCTTTAGGAGTTTCAGTAGGCATGCCAGATATCTAAGCCGCTTAAGCAAGAATCCCATCAGAGATGGACTGATCTAGCCAGATCGATCGAGGCATGGGAATGGGGTCTTAGATATGTCATGTTCCAATATATTTTATGAATACTACAACATTCATATAAATCAAAGTGTAAGATAAATGTAAATACTCACCTTGATGACTGAGGTCTGAGCTTAACCCAGAATCATTACTTTCACTTTCACTTTCACTCCCACTGCTACCAGCTTTATTATCCACTTTCCTGGCCTCTTTGCTGCAGGAACCTTTAATGTAATCAAAACCATACAAATGTCAAGTCACTTAAAATTTGAGGGATCATTCATGATTATTATTATTATAATTAGTATTTCATTTTTTAAAATTATTTATTTATTTATTTATTTTGCTTAAGTCACAAAAATCTTTAAATCTTGAAAAAAGGGTAAAAAAATACACTTCACCTTTAATTAAATTGATAACATTAATAATACCAAAAAGCACCAGAAATGACATTTGAACATTATTTCATTTATGAATGTTCAACTTAAGGCTTTAATAATATGCAGATGGTATGCAAACATTTACTTTATTTCAGGTGTTTAACAAACAACAGTTAGAGCAATGCCATTTTAATTATTACTAACACAGACAACTTGACTTAAACATTAAACAGCAAGCTCACTGGTCGATCCAGGAACCCCAAAAATATTTTTGCCCAACCCCTCCCTCTCCCTCTGATCCTAAATGCTGTAAGGACATTTTAATATAGCAGTAGTGATCACCTGAAATATTTTCCTATGGAAAATAATGGGTGTGCATCTATCTAAAGATGTAGAAATTTGTGTGTCCAATTTCTGAATCCTTCACTCTAAAAAATTAGCTCTTTATAATTAAGTTCTTTTTTACTGTCTATGTGGGACTTAAAAGCTCCTCAAAAAATACCAAAACCTACCAGTATCAGATTGGTTGCCACTATTACCATGGCGACATATAACATCTGGGTCGCATTCATGAATCACTATGACTTCAGTTAATTCAGATTTTTTTAATGGGCAGTTTTTTAGACAGTCATATTTCTTCATTATTACTACAGCTAGTACTACTATTACTACTAGTAGTAATACTGAAAGTGGGATGATAAACCAAAAATCTGAAAGTAAAATAGATATGAGCTTAAAATATCTCATTTCTTTAAATTCTTTTTTGAGAGCTTATGAAATTATTTTCATAACAAAGTGTTAAAATTTACATATTGTTTAAACATTGAAGATTACATTTACAGTGCTAGAGAGATGAAAAAGGCTGTTATTCAACAAGATGAAGGAGGATATAGATAAAATCAAAGGCATGACCTGACAAAACAAAAATTATGCTGAAGTATATGCTGGTTATCAAAATATATATTTTAACTTCTGTTGTGAAAGATATTAATACACTTACCACTCAATCTGAAAGGTTGGGATGTCTTGGTATTAAACCCTATTTCATCACTTTGTACCATAGCAGTAGTAGCACTGGCCATTGTTGCGTTTTCTGTGGTTGACATTGCCTCTGTCACAGGGATTACTACAGAAACAAGGCAGCAAAGCTGTCAAATGTACAGACAAAAAACAGANTGTTATCGGTGCTGCATATATGCTGAAAAAAGTGCAAAAACAGCATAAATTCCATATAAGTGACCTGATCATGCTGATTTTCGAACTCGACCTGCGTATTATGAATATTCATCAGTTCTGTAAGTTTCAAACAAAAAGAAAAAATAGTTTTCCACTTATCGTGTTATTGGTAAAAGTGCACGGCGACGACGGCAACGACGGCGACGACGGCGACGGCGACGACAGACGCAGATGACGGCTATATGTACAGACACATCTGTGTCTGTACATAAAAACAACAACCACAAATATATCAGATGGACTTCATATGTTAAAATGTGTGCAGCTTTTGATACACACCATGAAGCAAATCACACTGGCAAATTCCAGAGAAGAGAGACGCAAAATGAACACCTACATTGCACATGTGTATGAGTATAGCTATGATAGAGACTGTTAAATCACATGTATGACATCTTTCAGTTGACACTCACAGACACATTCTGGCAATGTTCTGCTCCAAGCAGCCTCCACGCTCCTTTCAGAGGACTGTATGGAGCACTGTGTGGTGAGGTTGTTCTGGACTGGCCTGTACCCTGGGTCACATGTCAAAGTACACACAGTTCCAGGTAAAATCAGGTCCTCTCTCTCCTGTCTGCACTCTATGCTGCCATTGGGGACATCTTTGAGTTTTGTGCAAACTTGAAAGGGAAAACATCGTAAAAGTTAAGTATATTCAAGTATGAACACTGGATGAAAATGAATGAGGAAATAAACTGAAAGAAGACTATAGCATCAAAAGATCCAACAACATTTTACAAACAGTGTTATCAATGCTACATATTTATGTTTATGTGTTCTGCCTATGCCATATACAGCTTTCAGGCACTATTGCTTCTTTCTCTATTGTTATTATAGACTAACTTGGCTTGGTCCCTGTCTCTGCTTTACACCAGATTGGAGATGAAGAGGGACCTGTACAACCATGGTCTAAAATGTTACTACTGGAACTGCCTGCCAAAATATCACGTGCTCCACAAAGCTCACACAAAGTGCACTTCTTGTGAATATCTTCATAAAAACTGAAAAATAATACCCGGTAAAGAATTGCATTAGCTTTGTTCAACTCAAGTTTTCCTTAAAGTAACATAGCCGGAGTTAAATTTGGAAGACTTTTTATTTTCTGATTTAATGATATCTACTGTAAGGCTGTAAGCACTCTGACTTTGTCAACAGAAACAAATAGAGACCATTTCCAGAGACTATATCCACTAACTTTGGATCGAACTATCTTCGAGGGGATTCTCACTTAACTGCAATTAACTTGAGTGGCTTTGATGTCTGTCACGCCTGCTGAGGCTGATAGGGGGTTAATGAACTATCGTTTAGCAACTTTAGTGAGCGTCCCAGATGTCTAACCCGCTTGGGCTGAAAGCAATTTAGCGAAGGACCCCATGGAGATGGATCGATCTTGTTAGATCAATCTAGGGATGGGAACCCAGTAACAGTACAGGTTTACTCACTAATTAGAACATGCAGCCCTGGTTCTCTTCCCTCTCTCTCCTGGCCTTACTGGAGTACCATCCTGAAATATAGATGGCAGCACTATCCTGATCACACAGCTTAGTTTGTAGGTACTAGAGGAGAAACCTCCTCACAATATGCTGCCCAATAAACTGAACTTACTGAACTTACTCAACTCAACTTACTAATTTTCATCTATTCAGTTGTTTTATGTCCCTTTAAGAAAAAGATGCTATATCACAAATAAAAAAATCTGTCAAACAGGGAAAGTTAATTTCTGCATTTCTTGGAAATTCATTAAAATGCAAATGAAACTGACACCAATTCATTCACAAAACTCCAAAGAGGTACATGTAAATCGAACAGTAACACAAAATGCTTTCTGGTACTTAATCATTAAAATGTGACCTGATGCCTCTTGGATACTTTTACTTTCTCTTTTATCCTAATAATTAAGTTATTTTACCATAATTTAATGAACAAACTGAAATGTAATTATCAAAAGTACATATATACAAGGATCTGTTTCTGAAAACTGTGGTGAAGTTTAAAGGTCTGACAATTTAGGTCTTTCCAAACTGTGCTAATTCCTCCACGTGGGAAGTCTCAGCTCACACAGTCCTCCAAAGTCATCAAACAAATATTATACTTCCTTGTACATCAGTGTGCACATGCCTACGCATGGTTCAGGGCCCCATTCAGAATAGAGCACTTACTAATCTGAGGGTCAAATATGGCCACCCACCACAAAGCTTGCTGTCTAATTCACTAATAGACATTGAATAGATATCCCGTGGAGAAGTATTCAAGTGGGTCAGCCATATAGACTAGTTAGTCCCCCCCCCTCCTCTGTCTTCAGCACCTATAAAAGGGGGATTGGGCTACATGTATTTCTTTACTGGTGATGCTCAGAGACTGATGTTATAAGGTTTGACATGAAATTATATTTGTCTGATATCTAATGTAAATGAAAATGATATGGTAATGTTTGTAGTGAGCTCAGAAGTGGTTTCTGTTTGCTACTACGCACTGTGAAATAAATTGCTTATTGTTTCATGCTGATCTACTTCCTCCTTCCTTTTTGTGAAAGACTTATACAAGGACTCAAGAAGTTTATTTGTTCAGCAGGATAAGACCTTTAATCCCCCTTATCATTACTTCTCATTTTTCCTGTTATTTTTTATCATTATTCTACTAATTATCCTGGCACAATGTCACAGAAAATCTTTAGGAGCAAACAATGCTTTAAGGGAAAAAACTGAAAGAAAAATACTAAATTAAAAGGAAATTGTTTATTTCGGTCTTTATTTACTATATAAAAGTTACCACTATATAACACCACCACCACCACCACCGTGTCTTGTGACCAATGAGTTGTGAAATCTGGTGTGATGCAGGTATCACAGTATGAACAGTGCTCACTCTTTACAAATAAAACTACATTATATGCTGCAGAATGAAGTTTACATTACAGAGCTATAAAATAAACATTGAGAAGGTAACTAAAGCTGACTTCAATAACTCCTATCAAAATTATTTAAAGTAAAATTCTGATGTCATAAAAACACTCAGTGGAAAGAGAAGCCAGGTGGTTAGCTAAACTATGTTGAAATTGACAGAACAACTGGGTCAGAAAATAAAAGTATAATCCATCCTTTGATTCACC